TGTCCTGGGGGCAGGGGGTGTGCCCCTCCCCCCCCCCCACATGATCAGAGGGTGCTTTCAGTCAGGAGTCTTCTGGTGGCTGTACCCTCAACTTGCAAAAAGCCACCCCTAGAAAATCTATTCCTCAGGATTGTCTCTGGATCCCAGAGCTTAAATCTTAATTTGGACGGCAATTTTTTAAACTCTAGAAAGGCTGAGGCAGGATTTCTTTCTCAAAATGGTTCCCATGCACAGAGCAATATCTGAAAGAACACCCAGAGCATTACTGCGTGCTGAATTTGCAATGGGATTTTTCTGAAGGAGCAGTTTAATGGTGGTTCTCCTCTCCAGGGGCTCCTGAGCGAGCTGTGTCCCACTACAGGCAGGGCATCCACCTGAGCCTCACTCACCACGTGGCTATGGTGAACCTGGGCAGGCTTCACCGCTCCCTGGGGCAGAACAAAGAGGCCGAAGCATGGTACAAGCGGTAAGAATTTAGGATGGGACACAGAGGTTTCCCTTCTCTCCCTGTACAGCTTGTCTCTCTAAAGCACCTCTGATAAGTGAATCTGTCGGTGCATGTTTGGGTTTTCCCCTGAGCCTCACTCACCACGTGGCTATGGTGAACCTGGGCAGGCTTCACCGCTCCCTGGGGCAGAACAAAGAGGCCGAAGCATGGTACAAGCGGTAAGAATTTAGGATGGGACACAGAGGTTTCCCTTCTCTCCCTGTACAGCTTGTCTCTCTAAAGCACCTCTGATAAGTGAATCTGTCGGTGCATGTTTGGGTTTTCCCCCATTCCTTTTCCATCTTTTTGAAAACAGATTTACCTTTGCTTATTTGGCTATTTTTGGGGAATGCCTGGAGAGGCAGCGTGGGCTCAGGCAGTGTTGACTTCTCTGGACCGTTCCCAAGCCCCCAGGATGGACACATTGCTGCTTTTGGCTGGGTGATGCTCTAATTATAAAGTTAGAGGTTTCTCGGTGGCATGAGCAGGTTGTCAGTACAACTCCCACCCTGCTCGAAGCTGGTCTCTGGGTGCTGTGCCAGTAACAGCCATAACTGCTGCACAGCGCTGCACCAAAACCTCAGCACCATCAGGAACTCCAGCCCTTCCCACCAATATGCCAGCAGGTAGGCTCTTACTTCCAGTATGTAGCAGGATGGATTGGTTTGGGGGGTTTTTGCCTCCTTTTTGGCCTCCCGATTTGTGCTCACACTCCCTGGGTTCTGCCACCATCAGCCATCCCCACCCCTGCTTACGTGCTCACATGCACTTTGGAGGTTGCCCTTTCCCCTTCTCAGGGGGCCAGAGGGATTGCTGCTGTGGACATGCTCATCCCTCCATGGGACCTTAAATGTGTGCTCCCCAGGGTGGGATGGACGTGCCATGCAAGGTGCAGAGCTTTGCTGCTCCATCCCAGCACAAGCCACTCCTTGCTCTTCTGCTTTGATCCCCACACCACCTGGAAGCATCTCTTTTTCCCAAAATTCCAGGGCACTGAAGGTATCCCGGAAGGCTGAAATCCTGTCCCCGCTGGGGGCTCTGTATTACAACACGGGGCGGTATGAAGAAGCATTGCAGGTTTACAGAGAAGCTGCATCACTGCAGCCTTCAAACAAAGAGATCCGACTGGCGCTGGTGAGTGTGTGGCGAGCTCGGCCAGGGCAGGGCCACGGCAGTGGAGCACCAGCTGCTGTGTGCAGCATCGGGTATTAAGAAGGGCTGAGCTTTTTGAGATCTTAACACTTTATAATGTGGCTCTGTAGGCTCAGGTTTTAGCAATGATGGGGCAGACGAAGGAAGCTGAAAAGATGACGAATCATATACTCAACGAGGATGCAGAGTGTCTGGAGTGCTACCGCCTTCTGTCAGCCATCTACAGCAAGCAGGAGCACTATGCCAAGGTACCATGGCCGTGGGGTACTCTTGTCCCGAGGGCTCACACACAGAGCTCAGATATTCAATGTTACAGTCCGTCTTTCCAGAGACATGTCACCTGCCTCAGCACATATCCAGTAGATTTATTTTTTCACTAAAACCTTCTGTTTATCTAGGTACTGGGACTGAAGCTAAGCAGTGTGGTTTTCTTACCGCTTACTGCTCCTGCTGCTGTCAGCCCCACTGCCCATCAGCCACAGGCATCTAAAAAATTCATTTCCACAGGTGTTAGCAGTGTGGGGCAAACAAGGGAAGGAGAAAGATGACTCTTATGCTGGGAGGCCCTAACGGTGAGGGGAGCATGAGAAGTAGAAAGGTGCAGAATACAGCAACACAATGTCCTCTTGCTTTTTCACAGGCACTTGAAGCTATAGAAAAAGCTCTTCAGCTAAAACCAAAGGATCCAAAAGTCATATCAGATCTCTTTTTCACTAAAGGAAACCAGCTAAGAGAACAGAATCTCCTCGACAAGGCTTTCGAGGTATGACTGCTCTAAGCTCCATGAATAGTTTTGTAGGTTAAAAGATAGAGTTAGCTCATTGCATCTGATACTGTTGGCTTGGGAGCTCGGCAGTTCGGCAGTGGTACAGCTAAAGCTATGGGGCAGCTAACTTTGCCAGACTTAGTTGCAACTTTTTTCCTCATTCCTATGTGGAAATACAGCTCCCTGCTCTGAGAGGTTAAGTACAGAGTTGTGGTGGGACTGTGGAGGAGCCTGGGCCTTTTCTCATTGACCAGACCCTTGGTCCATCCAGCCCCAGGCCCTATTGCTGGCGATAGCCAACTCCAGGTGGCTCGGCTGCAAGCCTGGGGACCTGTGAGAGCCCACCATGTTGTTGTATCTCACCTCATTACCTAATAGCTGAGAGATAGGCTTATCCTGTGGAGCAGAAGGCTTGATAGCTCAGAAATTATGTTAGCGTTAAATAATAGCGCAGAATATTATTGGGACAGTTCTGAATATTCTCCATATCCCTAGCAATGTCTAATCCTGATTTGAATCCTTTCCTGTTGTGACACCATGAAAATGGTGCGGTTTGACAGAATCTAGAAGGTCCTTGTTGCTTCCTCTCCCATGCACAGTGGCAGAAGCACCGGGATGGAATAGCACTGCCCTCAGGTCCTTGTGAAACCTCTGTGCAGGTGGCTGTACCGCAGTCTGCTGCCAGCTCCAGTTAAAACCTTGCAGATAAGGAGCATCACAGCTCACACATGACTTGTGGGTGGCAGGCACCTGCCCGAGGACATGACCCTGATGTGCTGGAGACCCCAGTGGTGCAGGGTGGCAGGGAGAAGGTCGCAGGGGATGGTGTGACTCCTCATACAGCGCTGTGGGTGGGGAAAACCTGCGAGATGAGCTCAGCGGTGAAGCACTGTGTTATGTTGCCTCTGCTGTAAAGAAACTGAAATTCAGCTTGTGCATTGTATATGAGGAGAATTTGAAATTACATTTTAAATGGATTCAGAAGGAGAGGAACCTTTGTTTCTCTTTCCCCTCCAGCACTGGTTTTGTTTGATGAGTCAGGCTCTTAATCTAAAAATGTTTGATATTTATGTAGAGCTATAAACGGGCAGTGGAGCTCAACCCAGACCAAGCGCAGGCCTGGATGAATATGGGAGGCATTGAGCACATCAAGGTATGACAATTTTGCATTTCCTTAAGCTGTCAGCTGCAGAGACTACTACGCAGGACAGAAAGATAAATCGGTTTCAGACTGCCAAGAGACACATGTTTGTGAACAGTGAGTGTCCCTGACAAATTCTATCGAAAAAGGAGGAAAGTCTGTCCACCTCAACTAGAATTTCCCAGCCAGCTTGCTTGGGAGTATGTATCCTGTAATGTAAATCCCATATTTGTAAGAGGGCAGGTTGCAAGGAACAACCTGCCCATCTCTGAAGTTTTCCTGCTTCAATTGGTGACCTACCTTAGAAAAATGTCACCATTAGTCGACATTTAAGAATCCTTTCTACCTAATTGATTTAATAAAGATGTCTAATGCAGAATACTGGCATGAAATTATGGAAATAGCCTGCCCTGTGGTTGCTTATCTTTTTGAATACTTTAGCATATCATTACAATTTGGGTCTTAAGGAGTCATATTGTGTGATATCCTCAAGCTATCCTATTGCTGAGTAAAATTAACTGTTCTGGTACAACGTAATGGAAAAATGTAAATCTACTTCTTGCCATGTGTGTTTGATCAAATTTAGGCTAATGACACTGAGTGATCCATTTCATAATGAAGAATTATTCCCATTACCTAACAATACCAAGGTTTATAAACTCATTTTCCTTTGTGTTACGGTCTTTACCATTCCCAAGGAATGAACTTCCTATGTCAGGGAATGCAAAGAGATCTGTCACTCATTTTCTTTGTAGGGGAGCTACGTCACTGCCCGTGGCTACTATGAGAAAGCCTTACAGCTGGTTCCAAGCAGCAAGTTGCTGAAGGAGAATCTGGCCAAACTGGATCGCTTGGAGAAACGGTTTCAGGAAGTTCAGGAGAAAGACCAAACATAGCATTCAGTCACCAGTGGAAAGAAACTTATGCCCCTTGGAGAAGAGTATGGTGGAAGCCATATTGCTTGAAGTGATGCTGAAGGAACTTTCACAGGACTTAGAATTATGGAAGGCAAATTTTGAATGCATGCTTGTGTTTGACCAAAGTTACAGGAGACACTTGGCTCCTGTGGGACATGCTGGAGAATGAATGAAAACCTTCCTTTAATCAAGATTCGTGTTTAGGCTGAACCCATTTTAATCACACCGGGAGTGTGGATGGGACATGTACCTTCAATATCGTGGTTATCACTGGGGAAACCATGGAAACAAAGCACTCATCCATTGCAGCAGGAGTGAAGTAGCACCTCCTGTTATTCAACACAGGCTCACCTCGTTCACGTGAAGTACCGCTGATGGGCTTCATTGCAAGTGCTGCCATGTCCTTCTGAGCCAGGAAAGATGGTCATAATGGTCACATAAAAAGATTTCAAGGGGTTAATGCTGAGGAAGTAGTGGCCACTTTTACAGCTCTAAATGTGACTTGAAAATTGTTCTAAAGAAAGGGAAAACAGTGTCTGAATATCACCCTAGAAGGATGATTCTACAAGTAGGACAAATGATCCTTTGAGGGAGAACCTCAGCTGAATGTTTTACTCATAAGATGATAGTAATTTAATAATAATTCAGGTTCATGGTGTCAGTATTGTCAAATATCATACGGCTTTACCCTTTGCCCTCTCCCTCCCAGCCAAATAATTATTACTCTGAAAAAATTGGAAGCATCCAAAGGCAATGGGAAGCTCTAGGATTACTTGTCCTCCTGTCCCGTCCCCACTAAAAAACCCAAACAACAGAACTGATTGATATAGGAGGTAAAGTAAAGCCACAGAGAGGTTAGGGAAGGTTTCCTAGGCTGGAAAGGTACTAAGGAGGCTCTTTTATGGGTGTGCAGGGACAAAGCCCATTTATCATGGTGATAACACTGACAAAACACTTTGTCAAACTGTTCTCACTCCCTCCCCCAAAAGATACAGAAAATGACCTATAGTTGATCAGTCATAAATCTATATTTTTAAATACTGAAGTGGGAAAACAAATTCTCTTCAGAATTGCGGCTTTTATTTTTGAGCTTTATTTATTTAACTTATAATAATCAAATAATTAATATATTTTCTCTGTTTTATACAAATTGGGCAGTATCCTTCACAGCTGGCCACATGGCGGGATGTTGTGACTTCTATAGTCTGAAGTTAGAAAAATGCAGCACCACACTGAGGCATGCTTGAATAACTCCCCCTAATGATGTTTCTAAAGCAGATGGCTGCAGAGCACATTGGACCATACTGTCACTGCAAGAACGGCACTTCTGCTGCTTCCACCAAGGTTTCTACCAGTTCACAGAAAGCGTTAGTGGGATCGTGCTTGGTGCTGCTGCCTTTGGGTTTGGACAACAGGGTAGCTCATCAGTTTGTTCCTCTTGCAGAAGGAAACCACCGTAAAAGTTGTTATATTTGAGCTTGATTGTGGCCAGTCCCTGCAGAAGAGCAGCCCGGGGTTTGGCGTTATTAGTAAAGGACAGTTCAGATTAGGTGTGCAGTGCCTTGGTACACATCTGTCAGGGAAACACCTGTGTGGCAGTGACCCATGTGGCACCTGGGTTTAGTTGGTGCTGTCCATGACACCTCAGCAAGCTCTGAATTTCACTCAGTGTGGTGGGACAGCTGTGCGATGGTGGCTGTGCTGGCTTAATTTGAAAAGCTCGGTGTCTAGCCACTACCGGTGGTCAAACTACCGACAGATTATTAACATGACTCCAACTGCATTTGTAGCCTAGAGGGAGTCCAGGCTGGTGCAGATGTCTGCACTGCCAGGGCTTGTGGACCCACTAGACCCATGGCTGTCACCCACCAAGACGAGGCTGGACTTGGAGGTACTGGTCCCCGCTGGCCAAAGAGATTGGCCAGTGCCTACAGCTGGGCAGAGGTGGGAGGGAGAGACCATCAGAGAGAGAAGGTGGTGACACACATTTCTGGGCTCTCTCCCTTCAAATCAGCTTCCCAAGGGAGCAGCTGGGACCAAAATAAGTCTTTTGCTGGTGAATTTTCCCTTTTCCCCCAGCCCAAGCAGCCTACTTTGCTTTCTGGGGCCGAGGGCAGGTTTGAGGTCCTGGGGGTGGGTCAGCAGTTCTTGTCTTTTCACATGACTTTTATGGCCGTGGACTTGCTGACTCTGACGTTTCTGCAGGTCCCCGGTGCAGGTGCTCTGCGGGATGCCATGCATGGAGTAGCTTTGCACAGCCCTGGCGCTTCCAAGATGGTTGGGAGGAGACAGGTTCACACCAGCAGAGTGCCATGGGATGGCGAAACCAAAGCTTAAATGGCCTCTGAGAGCAGCTGGTTCCCCACCTTGCATTGCAGAGTTGTAGATGGTTCAGTACCGGGGTACTCAGAGGTACCTGGACCATAAAAGCTGTCTGCCTCTCCACAAGGTGAGCCTGCCTTCAGGACACCTTCACCAAAGCCCCGTGGGCCCAAGCTGGCTGCCTGCCTGCGGTACCATCAGTTTGGGGCCTGGCAGAGTGGCGTTTGGTGCGGCCCCCAACAGTGGTGCTGTGCAAAGCCCCCCACGGAGCAGCCATCTGCAGAGAGTGCTCCGACAGCTAGCTGAAGGGTGGGGGGAGAAGAATGGAGTATGATATGAAATGGGTGGGAGGAGAGATGTCTCATTTTAAAATGTGTATCAGCTATAAACTTCATCTCATAAAGATATATTAAATAAATACTATATATTCTACAAGCCCCACACAGTGGGCTTTAAATTCTGGCCAATGAAACATATTTTTTCAAATATAAAGAAAGTTGTATTTTTTATAGGAATACTTTGTTAGGGGAATGACTTGGTTTTGTTTTTTTAACTTCGACTTAAAGCTTAGTTTGTCTTTCCTGAGAGACCTGGTGGAAATGATTGTCTCATTCTTGTTGTAGAGCCTGATCAAAGCCATCTTGATCTGCTAAAACTGGTGCACATGTAGAAGTATAACATAGCTTTGGGTGCCCCTCTCCCAGCTCCTGGAGAAGGATTACTATTTTTGCAATGCTGTCTTGCTTGCAGAGTAACATAGAAAGATGTGACCATCCTCCTGGTGAGGGAGGCGGTTAGGTTGGAAGTCATGACACATGTTCACCCACTTGCCTGAATTAGGCAGGTAAGTGATCCACAGAGTTTAATCCCAGCTGAACCAGATTACCCCTGTGTGCCGGAAGTCTGACTCTACATTTTGGAGTTGGGTTTATGGTAGTTACAGAGAGAGGAGGACTCAGTCATGAACCCCGCTTTGCTGAACTAGCACTTTATACCCCATCTATGCAGGATGATGGTCTGCAAACTGGCAGCGTATTTGGAGAACGATTCAGGCCATGAGCTACCAAAGCAGTTAAACCCTTGTGAAGTTTTGAGCTGACTCCCTGTCTCGTTGGCATCCATGCTGAAACGCTGTGTTTGTTCGGGGATATTAATCTTGTGAAAAGTTTATTGCAGGCTAAGAGGAAGAATGGAGTATGGTATGAAATGGGTTACCTCCACCAAAAGGGAATGCTATTGTGGAAGATAAATGGAGTGACTTTGTGATAAACTGCATATTATCCTAATTAATCATAGGAAATGTCCTCTTCCTCTAGCATTGCACAGCTTCTAAAATAATGAGTTATAAATACATTGTTTTCTGCCAACCCTAGTGCTCAGCATGGTTAGCAGAGATTACAAATTAATAAATGGCTGAAGCTCTACCTGGTGGGGGAGAGTTTGCTCTCTCTGCAAGCTGCATTGGCTAAACCTCAGTGCTCACCAATATTAAGGTGGAGAATTAATGGAAAGCTGGTTAGACAGGACTCTTGTGTACTCACTGGGCATTTTAATCCTAAATGAAAAACATAATAATTGTGTTGCTTTTTCCTTTCCCCATGAATAATATTTTCAGCTGATGGATTTTGTTTTATTTTATTGTTTGTTTAAAGTACAGCATTCTTTGCTTCCATTCCTTTTCCATCCCCCGGGATAAATGATAGAGCGAGGGGCATTTTCTCTCTCATGTAGACTTCTTGGACTAGATTTTCCTACAAATGTGCAAGCAATTTGTTTTGGCCAAACAGTAAGCAAATGCAGCAGTGCAAATGGCCTTCATTCCAGAGATCTCGATGAGGATGGGGGTGTATGTGCATGTATGCACATGGGTGGAAGAAGTCTAAGTCAAAAAAAATCCAAAATAAAGAGCCTAACTGAGAGGGGAGGCTGGACACTCCTAAAACTGTTGAAAATCTAGGAAAGCTCCCCAACCATTACAGAAACCAGGCTAAATATAGTGTACAATATTTGGTAAAGGAAGATAATTGTCATTCTAATTTTAATAATTAGCCTATTTAGAATGTAATTGTATGATCTTTTGCCCCACTTGTCCTCCAACTCGATGAAACAGTTGATATATGCTTAAGTCTCCTCAATCTGTATGTAATTAAGTTGACCAAGTGCTCAATTCCTGTCTTTCATATATGCAATTATGCACAATCTTTGGAAAAAATTAGCCCTTAGAGGGTTTTTTTCCCTGACCTTCAGTCTCTTGCAGCAATTTCAAAATGCACCATTTTGCTTTCACGTACATTTAAACCCAGCAGCAAAATAAAAAAAGAAAAAAAATGCGCTTGGCATTCACTAGTGTTTCAATGTGGCAAAGTTGCTTCAGTTAATCTCAATAACTTTGTGCAAAAGTTCATTGCCATGTTTGTACTGACTTGCTGATAATTTTTTCTTCTGGAAAATACCCCTGGTGGTATCCTCTGTAAAAGTTATGGCTTCTACAACTGTATTACTGTAGAAATCTCTGCCTGAAGTGGATGTCACGCTGCGTGTTCTTCTCATGCAGGAGTTGTTTGCATTGCCTGTTGTTCATATGGTTCTTATTTCTGTATCTAATTTTTTTTTAATCAGTTGTGCATATCTTTTAAAAAAAAAAAACAAGAAAACAGCCCATGGATTAGACATCTTTAAAAAATAAACTCACACTTAGCAACAGCTGGATGTATGTCAGTGGTACAGGAATTTGCAAAGTCTTCGCTTTTTTCACTGTGGGATTTATGGCTAGATTTCACATAAAGGAGTTATGCTCGAAGCCTTTGCAAAAGAAAATGTATGTAAATGTCTATTTTATATAAAAAGTAAGAAAAGTAGGTGGCGTGTCTGGTTTTGTTCTCTTGGTTATGGGGTCAGTCTGTTCCTTAGGACCAACCAGGAACAAGTTCTTCTGGAGGTGGAAGGGCCAAAGTTTCTTACTCCACTTGACTTACATTTTACTGCCCAAGGAGTCACAGTTATTGGTCATGTAGGAGCAACTATGCACCATATGTATTTGAGTCTGACCCTATAAAAATATTGGAGGAGGCATTTTTTGGGAGCCTGAGCATGAGAAAGGATGAGGGCTGGTGCTTACACAGTCGTGATGATTTGTCATGTTATACTGACATAAGCTCTTCATGTCAGGCTTTGTACCTCTGTCAGGAACGTGCCAAACAAGTCTACAGAATGCAAAGAGAAAACAGAAATTAAAAAGAAATGAATTTTGTTTTAATTACCTTTTTCCTGGCAGACATTCCCAGATGTGCAGGCGATCGTGATGGTGATAAACACCTCCATTTAAAATGGACCCGAAAGAGAATCAAAAGCCCTGAACACAAGCCATAGTGTTTTCAGACATCTTGCTGTGCGCAAAACCCTCTGTGGCGGGTAGGGGAATTGCACGCTCCCTTGGAAGTCAGCCCCGAAGTTCTCCTGGATCCCAGCAGAGCAGGGTTTCTTCATGGAGCTTGCTACCCAGCACCTCCCTGCCCAGGTCCTCGCTTGTACTTGATGGAGAAAGAAGGTGCACGGCCAGGTCACAGCCTGGCGCCTACCCCGTGGAGCAGTGTGCAGGCTTTGCCCTGTCAGCAGAACGAGGAAGACAGCATGGTGGTCCTGCCTCCCTCCATTGTGCTGGCGCAGCTGGCCTTTGGCATTGTCATTGTCACAGGAGGGGTCCTTCCCGCTGCCAGCCGGCCAACAGGGCAGGCCAGGCCCGTGGGGACAGGCCATGCCTGTGGGGACAGGCCGCACCCGTGGGGACAGGCCGCACCCGTGGGGACAGGCCGCGCCGGTGGGGACAGGCCAGGCAGCACTCGCCTCCTCTGGGCCGTGCAGCTCCCAAGGTGGGGTGGAGATGTCTGCTCTGCCGTGGGTGACGCCGGGGCTCCGTGTGCCTGGAAGCACGGCAGCATCCCGGGGGCTCCGCGGTTCCTGGCCCAAAAAGAAGAGGCAGCTCCATGCTTTCACTGCTCTTGCATTATGTGGATAGCAGCTGTAAAAAAAAGCCAAATAATTTTCATCCTTATGGCAGCTACTTAAGGCTCTCCGTAAACCCTGTGTATTGTGTCACCGATCAAAAGCTGCTGGAGGTGTCCAACTCGCGTGGTGTCCTCCCGGAAGGAAGAGGCGAACATACCACCATGCCTTACAAATGTTCTCCTCCCAGCCAGCTGGGGCAAGGGGAGGCCACAGGGCGAGGAACTTGGCTGGACTCGCCTTTGCCTGTGCAGACCATCCTCTGCAAAAGCAATGGGATGTGTTTGAAACAGCAATGGCTGAGGCAGCTCAGGGGCGGTGTCAGCAGTGAGGGGGGACGTTAGATCCTGCCGTTGTCCCCATGGGGAGCGGGCAGCAAACTACGAACAGGAGAGCCCAGGGAGCTGGTTGACCCCCCGTGAGACGTGGCTGGAGAGCCTCCAAACCCACCTGAGTTGCAGCCCTGCAGCCTCACCTGCCAAAACTGATTGGGCCCCTCATCTATTAAATGGGCTCGCTAGGTGGAAGGAGGAGAGTTGTTTCCCCTGTGTGTAGCAGAGTATAGCCTGGGTTCCAGCACTGGGTACTTTGGAGCTGTGGGAGGAGCAGGGTTTCTCTTGCTGCTGGTGTCCCTTCTTGCTCCATGTGGTGAGTCTTGTGTGTGGGCTATAGGGCAGGGGCTGTGGGGAGATGGACCCCAGCGTGGGGGCTACAGCAGTGAGCACTGGTGTTATCTGCTCTTTTAAGGTACCAAACAAGTGAATGTCAGCAGTCAGTTTTCACAAATCGTGCCAGGGCTCAGTGTGCTTGCCAAGCGTGAGTCATTTTTGGGCTGCCCTCGGCTGTTACTCTGCTGGGACTGGATCTCCACCTCGGTGCTGCTCAGCACAGCTCTCTCCTTGGCTGCTGTGGCAAGTGAGCCGCTCCCTGTGCAGGCTGCTCCGCTGTGGTGGGGTCTCTTGGCTGTGCAAGCAAGAGAAATAGCTTGGTCCTCCTGAGCTTGCTAACTGGTGACTCTGGGGCAGTCAAGTCAGAAAGGAGAGCAACCAACGGCAGCATGTTCTCAAATCCTTCTTGCCCATCCTGCTGCAGTGGCTAATGTATTTTTAACTCCCTGTCTGGCCTGCTCCCACATCCATGTAAAAATTTCTTTTCTAGGCATGCCTTTAGGTAAGAGAGAGAAATAAGCATGGGGCAGGCTGCAAAGGGTATCAAGTTGGGCAGAAGAATGTTCTTCACAGTGACTTGCTCCTGGTAATGAAACTAGTGCTAAAAAGATCTGCCCAGCTGGGGCAAGAGATGGGATAACTAGCTAACTGCCATACCTCCCACCCCTCTCCGATGTGATGCTCATCCTTCTGCTATTGCTTATGTTATTTCTCTCCACCTAAGGGAATGGTGTTTTCTCCATCGTTTACTTCCCTGATAAAGTCTATTTATTTTCTACTTTGTCAGTGAACTTGCTGCTATAGCAATAATCACCACAGTCTCTTGTTGGAAAAGCTAGTCAGCAGCAAGGGCTAGGGGGAGCTTGGTCCAGGTCAATGGCTTAGAAAATTGTGCCTGATTTTGTGACTGAGCTTTCTACAGTAGTCAAATGCTTTGAGGCCAGAGAGTGCCCTGGGAATATGACAAAATGCTATAAAAAGAGAATGAGAGAGAGGCTGGGCTGAATGTGGCAGCAAGGAGATTTAACCCCTTTACAGCTAGGAGTGCTGCAGGAGTTGTGGAAAGATCCCCCCAACCTTGTGGGTGACTCCCACTTGTTGCTGCTGAGGTCTTGGGGTGGTTGGCTACCAGCTAGAGGAGAAAGATGTGGGGTTCTCAGTTCACTGGCACTCAGACAATGGGGTGTGGGAGACTGGTGAGCTTTCTAATGCCTGCCAACCTGATGGGAAAGTTAAGCAAGTAGCATTGCCTTCAAGCCTACACAGAGGACATAGGACTCAAAGCTAAAGGGAGGGCTGGAGGTGTATCACTGTGATGGCTGGAACATTTTGGATACAGACTCAATTTCCTGGTGACTCCAGTGAGTTACTCCAGGCTCTCACTAGGGCAAACACAGTATAAACACCTCCTAAATCATGAGCATTATATTGCTTATGCTTGCATGGCTGGGAACTGAACTCTTACCCCAGCCTTAGCCTGAGAGGGGTGGGGGACCTCTCCTTTTTGGCATGAGAAACACATTGGACAGGAGTGATTAACAGAGTGGTTTTAGCTGGTGCAGACATGGGCCACCTGAAGGGAGTAGAGGAAGAGCTGCTGTCCTCTTCTCAGCAAAGGAGCCAGAAGCCTGATGCTACCCCTTTCTTGAAACCACCCAGCCTTGGAGAAGCAGGTCTCTGGTATGAGGGGTTGCAGTTGGTTCCTGTCTTGTGTGTCCCAAATATTTGAGATTGCTCCTCCTGCGTGATCTTTGCTGTGATGGTCATGTTCTGGAGCTGACCCGGGGGTGCAGTACGTGCCTTCTCCACCCAGCATGGAGTCCGGGAGGCCTGTCAGCATGTGCATCGCTCCCTGCTGGGTGAGAACTGGTGGGGTTTTGCTTAGAAAACATAAATGGGACTGCCATGAATCTATCTCAAACTGCACAGTTCAATGAAGCATCTCAAACTTAATCAGACTCGGCCATCCCTGGCTGGACCCTGCTCCAAGTCAAACTTTCCTCATGCTCATTGTCCACATTTCTAAGGCACAATTGGTGCTAAAAGTGATGTGAGAAAGCTGGCTCCTTGTGGTGCATTTCAGACCGAAGCCAAGACTGAATGCTGGGTCAGCTCAGTTCAGAGACAAGATCTTTCACAATGACTTTACTTGCTCAGGTTAAGTGCCCCAGAGCGCTTAATATGTGGAAGCTTTGAAGTAATAAACTTCGAATAAAGTCTGGTAGCATCATTACAGCCTGTTGCACTTGTTACTTAATTTTGTAAGTCCCAGTTGCATTTCATTAAGAATTAAGCTACTAGATGAAGTCTAAATTTGCTTTTTTTATGACTGTGCACATGCATCCTGAAAGTACCTCACAGGAGACCAGCTTTGCATACACCAGCTTGTCAAGAAATGCAGTTTCTGTGTGCTTTCATTTATCCCCTTATAATTGCCTTCAGCTTGGAACTCAGGCTGGAGTCAGGAAAGCTGTTACACCTGGGATTTGTCCCATTAATCCTCTACCTGCCAGAAGAGTCTGAGGTGATGCATTTGAGCATGTGGGGCCTCATATCATTGCAAAACATTGGTTCTTTCTGTCTTCTGTGTAGGCCTGAAGTGTGGAGTTTGTCCCATTGACCCGAAGAGCCTGGAGGATGCTCTGCAGCTGGAATTCTTCTCTAGAATAGTCAGTGGGAAACAGTTGGTGCCTGGATGGAAGCCCTGGCAGGACTGTGTTGCAGTATGCTGCCTTCCCCCTGGGGAACAGGGAGGAGAGGCAGGACTCATCTCTCTTGCATCCTCAAGTCATTGAATGCTGCTTGCTTAGGAGTGGAAGTTGGACTAAAAGTCCTTCTTGCCCAGCTTCCCAGGCTGGCCACCCTCCCAAAGTGGGAGGGAATCATAGAATGGTTTGGGTTGGAAGGGACCTCGAAGATCATCTAGTTCTAACCCCCCTGCCATGGGCTGGGACACCTTCCACAAGACCAGGTTGCTCAAAGCCCCATCCAGCCAGACTTTGAACACTTCTAGGGATGTGGCATACACAACTTCTCTGGGCAACCTGTTCCAGGTGCCTCACCACCCTTGTAGTGAAGAATTTCTTCCTTATATCTAATCTAAATCTACCCTCTTTCAGTTTAAAGCCATTACCCCTTGTCCTATCTCTACATGCCCTTGTAAAAAGCCCCTCTCCAGCTTTTCTGTAGTCCCTCTTTAGGTACTGGAAGGCTGCTATAAGGTCCCCCCAGAGCCTTCTCTTCTCCGGGCTGAACAACCCCAACTCTCTCAGTCTGCCTTCATAGGAGAGGTGTTCCATCCCTCTGATCATCTTTGTGACCCTCCTCAGGACTCACTCCAACAGGTCCATGTCCTCTGTCCCCCTTATGATGGGGGCTCCAGAGCTGCATGCAGTATTCCAGGTGGGGTCTCACCAGAGCAGAGAAGAGGGGCAGAATCACCTCCCTCGACCTGCTGGCCATGTTTCTTTTGATGCACCCTGGGATATGGTTGGCCTTCTGGGCTGTGAGTGCACATTGACGGGTTATGTTGAGATTCTCATTAACCACCACCCCCGAGTCCTTTTTGGCAGGGCTGCTCTCAATCCATTCTCTGCCCAGCCTGTATTTGTGCTTGGGATTCCCCTGACCCATGTGCAGGATATTGCACTTGGCCTTGTTGAAATTAAGATGAGATCTCTGGCTGGTGTGAGCTAATGCAGTTGCAGAGCTTTTGTGGCATGCACCAGCTGAGGATTTCCTTGGGTTTATGGTACAGAAAGAGGTTGCAGAGGTGGGATGGGAGGATGCCTCCCTGGTCCCTTGCTGCAGAGGAAAGTTACCTTGCCTAGTGGCTTGTGTTCACCTAAGGAGAAGCACTGAGCAATGTGGGATGATGGCCTACAAGTAACTGAGCAGGGCACGGCTCTGTTTAGGAGAGTACTACCTGTCTGCATGTTGCCAGAGCAAATGCTGGCACCTGTGGCAAAACAGTATTTGCCACCTCCCTCCACCCAAACCCAGTCCTTGAACACGCAGCAGCTTGAAAATGTATGCAAGTAGTAGCATGAAGTGCAGGAAGGCATAGGAGGGGGTGGTGTAGGGTGAGGTCAGGGGGTGGATCCTCTGGACCCCTTGCTAACAGCAAGAAAGTGGAGCAAGATGTCTGTCTGGTCCCCTCTGTTTCAGGATGCTCCAGGGTCTCATTCCTCCCATGCACCACTGGGGCTTAAGGTGGCTGCCAAGCATCAGCCATGGCTTGGAAATGACTCCCCTGGGCTCCAAGCAGCTGGGTGTCCCACACACTAGTACTGGGAGGAGAAAGTTGATTTCTGGGCTGGGCTCATCTTCGTTATTTCACCTTTTGGGAGGAACCAGGAGTATTCTCATCTTAAAACATACCAGACCCTTTCTTTGAAAGTGTCCCTCGAACTGGGCCATTTCCACTTCTGTGATGGCAGTCTGGTCTGAGAAGACTTATTACCGCTGCTCACTGCATGGTCAACCTGGAGCAGTTAAGTCAGCCTCACCTCCTCACTTGCTCTTGAATCTCTTGCAGCAAACGTTCCCCTTAGGACATGGGGAGCTCCCAGGCCCAGGTGTGTGTCCCCAGTTCGGCAGGGGAATGGCCCCCTGGGGCTGAGCAGGATCAGCGCTCTGCCACAGCCAGATCTTTGGGATGTGTCACTCCAGAGCCATGGGTCCACGAGCAACTCGTGCACCTCCCAGCGCCCTGGTTGCTCCTGTTGGGTCTCTGCGTATTTCCCCTCAAAAGCTGGGGGGAGGGCTCCCCTGTTCAGGGAGCTTGCAGATCAAATTCAAATGTCCTCTTCGGTGTTCAGGAGCTCTGCGAGGTGTAGGCAACCCTGGGACAGAGATCAGGGTGTGGAAATCTCCATGCTACCACAGTTCTTCTAAATGTCTAAGTCACTACTTTCAAAGGGCTTTGCCTTTAAAAGACCCCGCTCACCTATGCAGGTATCCAGAGAAACATTTCTGGGGCAGAAGGAGGAGCACTGCAGCTTCCTGGAAAAAGCAGCCCTGGACACGGTCCTGTTACTCCTAGCAGTCACGTTGGCTTCTGTTCTTTTAATGCAAGGCCAGCTTCACAGGCCATGCTAAAGACCTCCCAACGGGCAGGGACAATGATGTAAGTGGCCCCTTCGCCAGCCCTTTTTATCATCCATTATAAGGTAATTGCAGACCAGCCAGTTTCACATCTGCTTCTTGCTCAACTTGAGCATCATTTCTGATGACTAATGTTGAATAATGAGAAAGTTGCTATGGTATAAAAATGGCAATGTGCAAGATTAGCCTTGATAATGAGGCACCTTCTTGTTTCTCTACTCCGTGCGAAACTGTGCTGCCAGTGCTGTTCCTGTGTTCCCATTACTGCAGCGTTTGCATCGCCAGGCAAGCCCGGTGTCAGACATTGCTGGGAAGTACAAGAACTTTCCAGTTGCAGTGAACAGCCTCCTGGCATTAAAGCTGAGCTGTGCCATTCGTGGGTCTCTTACTTACGGCTGATGAGAGGAACGGTTTCCCTGAGTAGGGTGGGGGAAAAAAAAAAAGCTTAATTTACTAAAGAGCATTAAAGCAAAGGCTCAGGTTGAACCCCCGATACCTTGATTTAAAAAGATTGGGACCACAATTCAGGGTAGGCAGCCATAATAAAGTGTGTGCCTACCAGCCCCCTCAAGCCAGGCTGCCTGGACTTGCCACCTCCAAAGGCTGCATGGGTGAAATAGCGTGGTGGTAATTCACAGCAGTCAGACTTCCGTGAAGGGGTGAGGTCCCATGGAGCTTAGAGAAAATATTGAGGACAGGGTTTTGTTTTTTTTTTTAAAAAAGTCTATAAAACTAGAAATCAGTGATGAATAGGCTTCAAAGCTCTTGTCTGAGCACTGGGGTTTCTTGGACTCTCATGTGAACATAGTCTGGAGAGAAAAAGCAGTTGCTTCAGGTCTGAATCTTGTTCCATTTTGGTAATAGTTCAGGAAGGCCTTCAATCAGCCCTGATTGCAAAGATCTCGAGAGGAGCTTGCTGCTGTGTTGTGCCCTGTGCTGTGAGAGTTGGTAACGGGAAAGGCTGACTGCCAAAATGCGGAGGAGTTGTGTGGCTCCTGTGGGCACCTCTTGGAGCGCCTGGTACCAGGCGGATCAATGAAGCCGGTTCATGTCTCCCACCGAGTGCAACACTGCGCCGCAGAGCACTTGCTGGGTCCCTAGAGGAGACTAACCTCCTCTGCTAAAGATCTGGTTTGCTAAAGATGGGATCTATTACCCATCTATCTATTGGATAACTCTGCTCTGATAGTGTAGCTATCTACCTAATTGCTAAAAGAAATACTGGATTTATTGGATAACTCTGCTCTGATAGTGTATCTACCTAATTGCTAAAAGAAATACTGGATAGTGTGTTGACTCTGCTGGAGCCGATTGCTCCAAGTTTAGCTGTGACATTATATTGCTTATAAAATATGCAGAAAGACCATAATGGGCATACACTTGTCTGGTGTTAATTTAAACTACATGTAGCTGCCTAAAATCATCATAAAGCTCTCAGATGTAGGCCTCTGCTCATCTCCTAAATGCACTGATAACAAAATTAGAAAGGAGGATTTATGGGGCCAAAATGACTTGGCAAGCAGTTCCCATTGCTTTTAAGGCTTTTTTCGTGCCTTTTAGGATCCCAGACTGCAGGTAACAAGGGCTGAGCTTGACGTTTCGAGGACAAAGATGGCACAGGGGTTCTGTGAGTCCCAAAGCGAAAGACAAACTGTACCGAGCTGGTTGCAATGAAACCTGCTGGCACCTCTCCTGGCAGCTCTGTGCTGCACAGGTATGAACACTGGCTTGACAGGTAGCAGATGAAACAAGAAACATATTTATCCATTTAAAAGTAATCCCAGCTTTTCCAGCTGGAGGTCAGGCAATCCTTTGCATTGCTGCTAATGTGAAATCAGCCCCGCTGGAAGTCCTGTCACCGAAGGCCAGCCCCAGTTCCCAGGGCAGGAGCGTGTTGCGGGGTTGCAGACTCTGTGTTAGGGTTTGCTTTGTGGCAGCAGCCCCTTCCTTCGTCACCCTGGCACTGTTTTTTTTTCCCACCAGGAAACTCCTGAAGAGCCCAGTGGTGACAGTGGGGGAGTGTCACCTCCAGTGGGTAGACAGGCAGGAGCAGAACATCTGTCTCGCATGGCATCATCCACCCCGCGTTCAACCGGCTGCACTACATGGATTGCGACGTGGCCCTGCAGCACCCAGCCCGGTATGGTAAGTGGAAGCCCAGGGGGATGAGCTGCTGCAGGAGGGTGCTTTACGTGGGCGAAGTCCTCATCTGATGCACTGGTCCAGAAAAAAACCTCCTTTTCCTTCCCTTCCCATGCTTTCTGTGCTAGAGAAATGTCCCCTCAATTATGTCTTTAATGCTTACCAAAGTAACACAACTGGGTTAATTTTTGTCCTAGGCTTTCATTAATTGTCCCAGAAGCTTATCCCTCTAGTCGGGGTCTGTACTCTGGTTATGCTTGTGCTTTCTTCACGCACCAGATTCCTGTGTGCCCTTGTGTTCCCCTCTGCAGGCTGTACCAGCGCTGTTTCCTTCAGCCCCACTGTGCCAACGCTAGCTCTTGGCTAGCTGGTGGAAAGCCATCAGCTTCCTCTTGGCCATAGCTCTGGGCTATTAGCTAGCAGTGGGCTGCAAGGGTCCTGCCCACTGAGAAGTAGGCTGGATTAAAACCTGCTCACTCCAACTACTTCTGCAGGCAAAGGCAAAGCCTCTGGAGGTAATTTTAGGGTGTCTGAGTTAGGGAAGTAGCACAAGTCTCTAACTTCCTAGGCTTTTCAAAAGCAATTCCCTGAGTTATATAGAGCTACAACGGGTTGCAGTCAACTGGCCATGACTGCCTGTGACCATCAGATGGCAGATCAGCCAACATAAAATAATTTTCTATCATTGTCATGTCTCAAATCACTGGCTCGGATGGCAATAGCCTTACGGTTTGCCCATAATGGCAGGAATAAGAGAAATGAGACCCAAGAAATACTCATTTTGGGGCTCAGACATCCTGGCAGGCAGCATGAGGAAGGCTGCTTGAGGGCTGCCTGTGTGCCTGTACTCTGTGGCTAAACAGGTATGTGTTCAGGCATGAGCTGGGCTTGACAGCCTCTGAGCCTTATGGACAACTCCTGAGGAAACTACAGGGCTCCCTGCTTAGTCCTTCTGAAGGCTGGGCCTTGTTGAGGCAGCCAAGGAGAACTGTGATCCATTTTGCTCCCAATATCAAGGAAAAACTAACCAATATGAGTCTGGATTGAACTGAGCTGAATCTTTTTTTTTTTTTTTTTTTTTTTTCATGTCCTGCACAACTACTCTGATCTGATCAGCACTGGTCTTTGGGGAGAATGATGTAAAGAGTTTCTCACAAGCATTGGCCTGTTCTCACGGTATACAAGACTGATACAGGGGCAGCCCAGTCTCCTCTCATCTCTGCCATGCTGTTCCCCCTCTTCTTTTGTCCCCTTCCCAAGTATCTTCCTGCTTAAGTTAACATTCAAAGGTAGCTAACAATCTTCCTTAGTTCTGTCTCTGAATTTGCCATGTATAAATTTAATTATATATGATTAACTTCAGTTTGTATTCTCGTTTCATAAATACCCACATGTGACTGTGCTGTTTTGGGAAGGGGAGAAATGAAACAGTGTGACTTGAAAGATGGTGTTTGTACCTGTAAATCAGACATACTCCTGGAATCATGGGGTTCATGCGCTCATTTGTGCACCCTTTCCTCTGCATCAGCGGGGATCAGGTTCAGCCTGTTTGCCTTGCCCACAGGGATGAAGACTTCCAGGCTGGGACACTGTGTGGCTAGTGACTGGGGCCAGGTGCCTGAGGGTGAGTCAAATGGCAAGGTCTTCTGGTCACGGTTGCAGGAATAAATGGATAAGGGAAAGGAGACGCTTTCTTTCAGAAATAGAAACAGAAGAGAAGGTGACTTCTGCCAGATGGAAAATTCAAGTACCCCTTGCTCATCAGGTCTCTGCTTGTCAGAGGAGCAGCCTCTGTAGGGACGTGCAGATCAGCATTTTCCTGCAGCGTGAGACCTTGGAGCACACGAGGGAAGGTTGTACTTTGCAGTACTGCTGTGCGTGTTTATGTGTGCATACTGGAGCCTCTCACAAGCAGAGCCATCCTTACAAGGTGTTACAGAAGTGGAAGTATTTCCTTTGTACGTAAAAATGTATGCTTTTTTATACTCCCTCCTCTAGATACCAGAAAACTGTTCCCTCAAAGGAGTAGTATTTGCTTGAGTTTTGGTAGATTTTAAAGGAGATGGGAATGTCTGAATGTTGCTTTTGATTTTTACATCCCCAGTGGTTTGGGGCTCATCCACAGTAGAGGAGACAGAGGAGACTTGCCTGTCCTCCACTCCCCAGCAGCCCTTCCAGGAGAGAGCACACCATCTGCCAGCCAGGGCTGGTGTCTCACGCTGACAGCTCGCTGCGGGCTTTGTCCTGGCCCCCGAAGGTTTCCAGCCCTGTTGTAGGGTGCTCAGGAGAAGAAAGCAATGTCTGTTGCCCAACCTGCAGGGGGATGACCTGCTGCAACCCTGTTTTGAGGCACTGGCTGGGGGCGAACCAATGCATTACCTGCCTGCTTGGGTGCCTCTTCTTGGTGATCCCAAACTGCTTCGAAACATCACCACCCCAAGCAGGCAACTGGTGCAGGACTCCCCATCTGCTCTTGCCGGGGTGCTGGGGAAGGGGTGGATGCAGCTCCCAGGCAACAGGGCTGTTGGCTACCATTTGGCGGAGAGGCCAGCTGGCTGGCAGATGCTGGCTGTGGCCCGGCTGCTCCTGCGGTGGCTGGGGAGCTGGCTCCCATCTTGTAAGAGTTGGAGCTGCTCCTCACTGACAGCCAGACCTGCAAGGTGCTGCTGAGGGGCATGAACCAGCCGCTGGTGTGGGGCTCCATGCTGTGTGCTGCGTTTCCCGATGGCGGGAGGGATGCGTGCAAGGTAACAGCTCATCTGCCCTGGCTCTGCTGGGCAGCAGGCTTGTCCTGTCTACCCACAAACCTTCTCTCCTGGGGAGGAAGGGAAGCAACAGCACTGAGAGTGCTGCTGGCATTTTGCTGAGCAAGAGCTTTACAAGGAGATTCAGAATAACGAAGGCAGGAGTCGTCTTTTGTGGGTGGGAATATGGATGTGGGCAGGAGGCTGAAGCATGATTACTCCCTTGCCTAGACCTGCCCTGGGCTTTGCTAACAGCAGGACCTCCAACTCTGCCTGCAAGTGCCACCACCTCTGCTGAAACCAGGGGGGACCTTCAGTGGTGGGACTCCAGGCAATGGGCAAGGGAGCCTGGCATGGGCAATGCTATCAGGAGGTTGGAAAGAAAGCAGTTCCCACCTCTCTTGATGTCCCCTTACTTCTGGTACCTTCACTCAGTCCCACTGGGCAATGGGCTGCAGCAGAGGAGTTTGCTCAGTGCCAAACTCTCCCATGCTGATCCTAACAGCGTGAGGGGGGCTGGTCTTGCCCTGCCCTAGGGAAGGCTGCCAACCAGGCTGTCACTAGTCTCCTTGGGGTGTACTTGCATTAATTTTTTGTTTTTAACAAAGCAGTAGCTTGGGAAGATCCCTGCTCTCTGTCATACCTTGTGTGAACATTTTCAAAGCAGTGCTGCAGCTGATGTTAGTGAAATGGCTTTCATTTTTACATTCTTTATGGAAGAAAGGGATTTGTGTACTGAGAAGGGCAGGTTGCCAAACTGCAAGTCAGATCAGGGGAGTGAAACAACAGAGCTTATATTGGTATGTTTTAGGTTAAACAAGAACAGCTGAATGAGCAGGGACAGTGCCAGGCCCCCATGACTGAGAAGTAAGCAAGGTTCTCTTGGCTTCTGCCATAAAGCTGGCCTGTCATGCAACACCGTCAAAGGTCGGAGCTTCTGGCACAGGAATAAACAGCACCTTTACTCCCCAGTGAAGTTTGGACAGGGTGACTCTGGAGGCCCTCTTGCATATCTGAGGACTGATGGCACTTAGACTCTGGCTGCTGTGGTGTCCTGGGGGGTCAGTTGTGCCAGAGGATGGGATACCCTCAAGAGAAGCACCATGGCCCGGGGCTCACCTGGTGTCTTCTCCTGGGTGGCTGCATTCATGAACTTCATTGCCCAGCACATGACACCAGGCAGGTATGAGTACTGGGAGGTTTTTTTTCTCTCCTGCCTGTTTAGCACCATAGGGATCCAAATTGCCCTGCTATTGCTGCCTCCCTTCCCTGCTATTGCTCCCTCCCACAGCACTTCTGTTCAATTGCCATCCACTGCATCAGCAGCAAGGTATATTATTTTTTTAATTTGGGATGGCAAAACCAAAGGTTTAAACAGAGAAGTATCCCTTCAGAAACCCTGTTATAATAGCAGGTCTGACCCCTGCATCCCCTGAAGGAAAAAGCAGAAAGCTACTCAAGCTGCCCTCTTTTTGGCTGAATGCAGCCCTGCCAGCCCGGTGAGGTGTCCCTTGAGTGCTGCATACCAGCCCTGCTCTAACAAAAGCCTGCATCGAGTGCTTGCCAGCTCGAGATCCGAACTGCTGTTGGGCTCCCGAAACGGCGTGCAGGATTGATTGGGGGTTATCTCCTCATCAAATACAACTTTGAATGCGTATGGGAAGAGAGGCACTGTATTAAGTGCTGCAGTTTTAGTGGCTTATCAGACGTGCCTTTTATAGCAAGGCATAGGTTTAGTGACTCCCCACTGGCCACTTGTATTTTTCTGTACAGGTGATTACAGGGCTCATACAAATTATTAAAGAGCTGGTGTTATTTCTGTCATAGCCATCAAAGTTGAGGTGTTGGTATTAACTAATACCCAAACTATTATGGCTTTGCTAGGGATCCTTAATGATTATGGTTTCAAAGAGAGGACTGTCTGCAGCTAAGAAGGTGCCTCTTAATTGGGAGCACTAACTGTGAGGAGCAGAAGCCACGTGGCTACAAAGCGAGTGCATTACCCTTTGCAAAGCAGAGCTATCGAGATTCACACAGACAAAATGCCCATGGAAGATGAAGGGAAGGCCAACATAAAAGTGGTCCTTCATTAAAAATGAGCTTGGAGTAGCCCCATCAGCTCTTAGCAGGCTGAATGAATGCGAGCCCACTGTGTCAGTGGGACAAGTCCTGAAAGTTTGGGGATTTTTAAGTAGGACTTTGGGAAAGAAATTGTGTGCTCTCATCCGAGGCTTCTCTCAGCTGCATGTCAAGCACTTTGTGTTTGAAACACCTACAGTGCTGTAGCCCATGCCTGTACTACAATACTCCACACAACCCTTTTCTCTCCCTAGCTGCTGTGCTAAGCCCTCTCCCTGAGCCAGCAGAGCGTGGTTCCCAAGGCGTCCTGCTCTTTGGAGAAAGCGGCTGCATTCAGTACCCCCAGGCTTTGGAGGATAATTCCCCTGGCAACAGGTAACTGTAGTTTGGCTGTAGTAGCCAAACACTGAATTTTCTTTGGGGCACCTACCTGAGTGTTTCCCTGGGCTCAGAAGCCCTGACCACTGCTGGCCCAGGCACCACTCTCCAGATGACAGCGGCTGTGTGCTCTCTGCAATCCCCAGCTATGCTTGCTGGGCAGCATAATGCTGCGGGGGAAGGCGGGAAGACACAAAGTCTGTTTGCAATACAGATTTTGTACGAGCCATGCTCATGAAATGGCTGTGGCTGGTGAGATATCTGCTGTAGCCTGTTTCTTGTGGTCCGACCATACCGATGTCAGCTCACACAAAGAAGCTTTCAGCTTCTGCAGGAGGCAGGGGAATGAGATGGACTGGGCTGGCGGTCTGTCAGTCACACAGCACGAAGCTATTGCCGCTGTAAGGAAGGGTCAGTCCCCACCTAGTGCTGAGCAAATTCACAGCAGTCCTCTGCTATTGGTAACTCTTCCCAGATGGCTCATGCCTGAGGGGGAACATGATAAAATTTACCAGGTGGAGCTGGTGACATCATTTGTCAGCTTCTGGTGCATGCTTGCAGTAAAGCAGTCGCTGGAGACTCCCAGCCCACGGTGGGACTGACAAAGGCTAAGCTCAGCCGTGCAGATACATGCCTTTACTATTGCTTCCTTCTAGCCTGTGTCCCTGGCATATAATAGTGCCAGAGGACAAAAGCATCTTGATACACTTCACCAAATTAGATGTAGAGTACCAAGTTGGATGTGACCGTGACTGTGTCCCTCTATTTGAATGGAAGAGAGCTGATCAGTAAGTCTGGGTACCTTGAAGGGGTGAGGGTTACTGGGTGTAATTTTTTATCGTTCATTGTCATGAAGAACAGCAAATCTAGCTGGTTTTTGAGAAACCTTTTTTGTATTTTGCACTACAACTCTAAAGAGTTAGAGACAACACCCAAACAGAGCAGCAGGTGGGACTGAGGGACGTGTTCATATTTGTATTGGCATCTAGTGCAGTGCGGTAGGCTAAAGTGTCTCAAAAACATCTTTCGGCTGTACATGACTGTGCCCCATCTACCTTCCCTCTAATACACCTGTTTTAATCCTATGGATGCTGGGTAGCAGAATAAACCAAGGGCTTAGCCTTGCTTAGCTGATGTATGTCCAGGTGAGTTCCCTAGGCGTTATCCTAGTGTCAGTGCACTGGAGATGCAGTTCAGAAGGCTGGCTCTTCTTTGGTTCAAAATTGGATATATGGCACAACAAGCATGCAGATTACTGGGTAACTGTACAGATGAGACTAAAAGAAACATGGCCTGTTGCCCTTCTGTAAGGTGCACTTAATACTGAACCGATAGAGAATAAACATTTCCTGCAAATACTGGCTGCCTCTCCCCTCTAACTTAGTACTAATGATGATGTGTTGATAATAATATTAATCCTTAGTCCATGCAATTCACCCTTTAGGAATATTTGGTTGTTCATATAGTTGTTTTGGATGAAGTCCCATCTCAATTTTTCTCTACTGTCTCTAAATATTTTATAGGTAATGAAAGCCAAATAGTCTCTCCACTCAAAGTAAGAAGAGATCTTCCCGATGGGATCTAGCCTAACGAACCACTGCAAGATTTGCCTGAATAAATGTATGCTCAGCCCACCCTTACCACTAACTCCTTGTCTCCCTGAGGCAAAGCCTGCAGGGATGTCTTCACAGCCCCAATGCTGGCAGGGTCAGACTGGGTCAGTGTTATGTTTGTTTCTGATGGGAGCAATGCTGGCCATGGCTTCAAGCTCATCTTCACAGCCATCCATAAGGATGCTGAAGCGGGTGACCTCGCTGATGCTGTAGGAACTCCTTTCCTCTCCTTTCTGACCCCCTTAAAATAATAACTACCCTTAGTATGCCCGAGTTCCTTAAAAATCAAGTTGTTGATCTGAGTTTATTGACAGTACCATATAGTCCCATCTGTTAAATTATCTCCTTTCTTGTCTGCATATTGCAGGTTCAGGCTGTGGGAGTGTCACAACGTTAGCGGAAGAGGGGAAGATTGATACTGCTAATTACCCTGGCTTGTATCCCAGGAACACAAAGTGCCAGTGGCTCATTGAGGCTCTAGCAGAGTATGTCGTAAAGGTAATAAAAGGAAAAATTGCACTTAAACCTCTGCACTACGAAGTGTTCAGGGGAACAATTCAATAAAATTCTTCCAGAAACATCTGTGACACGCAAGACTGTAAATTGTAACATTTCCAGGTCACTGATTCTTTGCAGGTCATATTTTGTCTGTTAGACATCACCTCCAAACTCGGGTATGAAGGGGCTGTGACTGTTGTAAGTGCTTGAAGTCTGTAGGCACCCATCTCACCTCAAGACAGCTTTTGTCTTGAAGTCTAGCAGAGACATTTAGGAGTAAAGGGAAGGCAGAGATCATATTGCAAATAATATAGTCAGCCTCTTCCTCAAGGCAGTGTCAAGACCCCCAAGCTACTCTTTAGACCCATACCAAGGTGTTTGTTTCTCATTGTGCATGGATTGTGTGACAATAGTTCCCACTCATACTACCAGCAACTCTCTCTTTTTATTGCCTGTTGCTGCTTCTATGCAGCAGGAGCCTACCATGTTCATCCCAGCCCACGATGAGTCATGTCGCCATCTTACATTGTCTGAAGCACCATCTCTTCTCCCCTGCTGCCTCGGCTAAGGAGTGGAAAAACAGTGTTAAACCTAGGGATGCTTGAGGGTATGCAGACCTATTGCTTGGGTTGCTGCTGCTCTGGTGGTGTGAGAAGAGAACTTGCAGTCTGGATTAAAAACAAACAAAGGAAAAATCACCCACTCTCCATGATTGAAGGAAAAGCTCTTGGAAGGGCACTTCATATGGGACACTGACCCTTAAGAAGTACAAAGCATTGAGTGTTGCGGTAAATATGACAGTTGAAATCCCTTAAGGCAAAGCTTAGGCCAGCCTCATCCTCTGCAGACCTGTCTGTAGCCCTGCACAGAAGGGAGCTATTGGGCCAAGATTGCATCAAAACAATCTGTTGGCAAAAAGGTGATATACCTACCTTCGGATGCCATGCTCAAATTCCTCTGAAATCTAGCTTTTGTCCAGCCCATGGTTAAGAAGGGTGTTTCAGTCTTGATGATTCCCTCTTGCTCGTCCTCTTTGCAGGTGGAGTTTGAACACTTTGCTGTGGAACTCAGCCTGGGCTGCATTTATGATGCAGTTACTGTTTACGGTGATGAAGAAAACCAGTTGGGTGAGCACTAATTTTTTCAGTCTTAAATTAGAAATCCCTGTGGAAACGGGTGTGTTTTATCACCAAAATACTCTCTCTCTGGTAATGTGGTACGTGCTACCACTGAAAGGGCAATATAAGGGCTTCTGCAGCACTCTTTGAGGTTTGCCCATCTGTCTTGCCCATCATGATGTGGCCAAGTGTGCCATTGGCACAGGAGATCTTGCATCTTGTTCCCAGGCTGTGCTTTCTCATGGAGAGCCAGCTGGTGTTCCAGGGATGGATACAGGACCATGGCTCGTGTTCTATTGCTGATCCAGAGCGCTGCTGTATCAGGCCTCCACTCTTCATCTCTATCAAAGGAGAGAGCAAGAGCAATTTTGATCGAAGTATTAACTAAAGACAACAAGCGTTCAAATTAATGCAGGGCAAAAGGTCGGTTGTCGATGGATGTCTAATTCCACTGAAACGGATATGAATTCTTTATGAATTGAACTAATTCTGTTGGAATGTCATTAATGAAAAATTGCTAACCTGAGGCATTGCTTTCCCACATTTTCAGAACAAAATATTTTTTAATTTGTCACTTTAAATCTGCTTCAGTTTTATCAATATAAAAATCTTTAACCTTAGTGAAATCAATGTTCTTAACTTTTCTTTTTTTTAACTTCTGTATTTCCAGATATTCCTCCTACCTGGACAAAATGAAAGCATGTTGTACCATCCCCACCTTTTTTGAAAAAACAGCTTTCAGGCACCACAGTCAATTGAGCAGAGCTTGATATCTATTCTTTAAGGTGAAAAGCAATCTGGTGCTTAGAAGTGAAGATACTTGAATTGAATTCTGGCTACCTCTTTACAGGCCTGTATGTGAACCAAAAGACAGAGTAGAGTGATGAGGGGCTGGTGGTCTTTTCTTTACACCCAATAAGCTGGGTAAGAGGCTTGAACTGTCCTGGGTTCGCCATTGACAAGTGATATTTGGCAAACTGCTGCTATTTTTTCCCCATCTATATTGTGGTGGTAATTTAGTTGCATGTGTTTACCAAATGCTGAATAAGTATTTACGCTACAGTTGCCTTGAAAAGAAATCTGGTTTCCATTGGAAAGGAGTATTTAAGTGGGAGGAAGAAGGCTGACAAATTTGGATCTGGAATCTTTCAGGGGAGAGCTTTTAGCATCCCAGAATGTTTCCCTCAATGCTTTCCAGCACAGCTTTGCCATCAGAAATTCATATTCTTACAGGAAAGCTCTTCTGGAATAAAATGCAAACTTCCTATCCAGCTGCAATTATTGGACTTCCAGATGCTATGCAAACTGAGTGCTCTCAATAGGAGGAAAAGTCTAGCAGCTGCTTTCTAGGTCCTCATGTAAACCATTCAAGAGAGACTTTGCTTGTACCCCTCAATGGTGGCAAATACAATTCTCAAGGGTGGGGTTTTTTGTGCAGTGAAGGGCATTCACACTGTCTGTTGAAGATTACTTGTAATCCCACTATGAGAAAATTAAGATTACTTTTGTGTACCTGTAGCATAACTGTAATAGATTAATTCTGGCTGCTGTTGCTTACTGATGTCATGGATTAACATTGCTTTGCAGGCACCTCTTCTGCAAAAGTTCATGTTTCAATCAGAAAGTCACCAAGACTCTAGAGCTTTGGGTTTTTTTAGAAACCTAGATTAGCTAAAGCCACAAGTGCTTACAGGATGACAATTCTCGTCTTAGAAAGACAGCTTCTTGTTCATCCCTACAGCTAATCTCTTTGGATTCTCAACTCCCAAACCAGTGCTGAGTCCCCAGAATACCATGCTGGTATATTTTGAAAGCGATGAGAAGAATGGCTTCAGAGGGTTCAAAGCCCATCTCATTTTTGTTCATTCAGATTAGTAGAGAGATGCTTTCTGTGTCTAACAATGTCCGTGTCATCTGCAGCTATTCTTAGACACCTGATCTTATTTTTTAGGCTAATCCTGCTGCATTCTGTCAAGGTAACTTTAAAACACAATAGCTACTTTTGGCAGCTCCCTTCCCTGAATAAGAGAGATGAATCAAGCTAGTTTTATTTTTTCTCACTGAGAAATGAGATGAGTAACTTCTGTTACCTGAAACAAGAAGCCTTGTTAATTCTGTCTGTCTGATACTCCCCTTGAAAATCTCATTATAGAGAAGTCTTGATCCTGAGTGTTAGTCTGCTATTGTTGTCTTCTACTTTCATGAATGTGTGCTGGCTGCTGCTTGAGGGGATGAATAACTTTCCCCTTACAGAGTGGGGACTTTTTTTGAGGGGACAAGCCAGAGCTACTGACCCAAGTCAGAGCTAACTCTTATTTCCTTTCTTGCAGAGGAGGCAGGAAGAGAAGATTCAGGATTATCAACTGCACTGATGTTGGCTCTGAAGGATATCTCCTTAGGTAAAGAAATTAAATTCTGCTCAGTTGATCTGGTCTGAGGAGCTTTCCTCTAACATGTAAGAGGATTATGCAGAGAGACAGATGCTTTCTGACCTCAGATCCCCTTTTGTGCCCTTCTTGCATGGATGAAAGTGATAGGCAGGTGCCTCATCTCTCATTCACCATGTGCAGTACGCTGTGGTTGCATGCACTTCCTACTGGCAGAGGGAACACGGGCAGAGGATGGGAGAGACCTGCTTTCAGTACCTGAACCTCTTCTGCTCCCTGAAGTGCTAAACTCCTTAGGATTCAAGCTTTCACATAGCTCTTCTTCCTTCCCCCATCACTTCCAGGCAGACCAAACTTGATCTCTCCTGTATCTTTGACCTAGCTGTATCCACTGTGTGAGGTTATCTAGGAAAACAAGAAACTTGCTTGCGAAAGTATGACTGGTTTTCTGGCTCTCTTGCAGACACCTGTGGCTTTCCCCCAGTTACTTGCCAGTGGCTATTCAAGTGTGTTAGTGGGGCTGAGGCCTGTCTTCACTGTTGGCCATAGCATGCCACCCTGAAGCTCCTTGGAGACTGCCAGTGCGATGGGGTTGTCATCATCCCTATGTGGCTGCTGACAGCTGCCCACTGTGTGCAGCTGAGTGTGACCAGCATGTCCCTGGGCCACCTCTGCTCCTCTCCTCATGCCATGCACTCCCCCTGCTCCTCCAAGTTGGGGTGCGAACAACTGGAGAGCTATAAATTATATTCACACCTTAATATCCTCTAGGAAACATTCCTTCTGCCCTTCCTCCATGATCACTGATTTTAGAGATGGCAACAGTTTGGTCTTGCTTGTAGGAGATCCATTAAAGTTAATTGGACTATGCGCTATCAGAGCTGTAGCAAAGCCAGAACTGATGCAGCACATTTGTCGTGGTGAGAAGGTCTTGCTCAGCAGTTCTGGGAATAAGTGACTAATTAGAGAAGAGCCAGAAGGCATGTATGACTGCTGAATAAGGAAGCTGTATGGCTGACTGTAAGTAGCTCCAATATGTTTATTTTCATTTTACAGATCCAATAAACCCTTGCACTGGACTGTGGCGGTAGGAGACCATGATAGAGCCCTGAGAGAGTCAACAGAAGAGGTAAAAAATGAAGAAATACTATTAAAAATGTTAACTGTGGTGTATTTGTCTCTACCACATTTCTCAAAACAGATCTACATGCACAGATAAAACAGTGTTGACAACAAGGCAAAATGACTGATATGTAGCAGAGGTTCAGTTGAGGAAGGAGATCCAGTAACTCTGGTCTCATGCAGCTAACTTGCAGCCTGTAAAAGTACGTTTTATATCTGGTTCTTATTACTAGCAGTAAAAAGACTTAAAACGTAGCAGAGATGACTGACTGTCCTCAGCATCTTACTCTCTTGGTGCTGAGCAATGTATTGGTCTATAAAAAGCTTGTTGAGCCTTCCTTCCTAATGGGGAGGAGGAAGAAATACATGTGGAAAAGCAGCACATAGTCTTCTGCAAAACCTTAGTGGCTTATATTTGCACAGTGAAGCAGTCAGCCTTTACTCTAGGCTCAGGAGGTCTACATAATCTGTCCCAGCAATCTTCTCAACTGAAAAGCAGAGAAGTGGAGGATTTATCCTCAAAGTCCTTGCACCTTGTTTATTTCTTTTCATGACCTATTTCAGCTTGGTCACTGCTTGTGGGATTTTTGTCCTCTTCCTTTACAAGTATGCTTTCAGGATGCTGCATTTAGGGCAGCTTGTTCCTTCTCTGCCCTGATGCCTGTGACCTGGTCACAGACGAGATGGGTGAAAGCCATTGTGGTGCATCCCCACTTCGACATGCTGAGCTATGACTCTGAAATTGCCCTGATGCAGCTAGACATACCTCCAGTACAACGCTGTTGTGAGGCCAGCATGTCTGCCCAACAGCACAGAGACATTATCCTCCTCTTGCCTCTGCACTGCATCTGGATGGGGAATCATTGAAGAAGGTGGGTCTTCTGTTTTTGCATGTTTGCCCGTTATGAGCAGAACTTACATTCACATCTTGTGTTTCATACTTCTGCCCAGACCTAACCTCAAATTTATTTCCCAAGCAGCTGGGAGCTGAGCTAGGCCATTGCAGCAAACATGAGTGCCTGTACTTGAGAATGAAATCTGTGAGAGAAATTACTACTTCAGTCACCCTGGAAGGATCACAGCCAGGATGCTTTCTGCTGGCTTTGTTTCTGTGGGAAGCCAGGATTCCTGTCAGGCGAGGTAAAACTAAAGGTGAGCGCTCTTGAAGGTGTCTGCATATGGATGTCTGTAGACCACTGGGTAGAAGGGACTGGGGGAGCACAGAGGGGAGAACAGCATATAGCAAGTGACAGTTGAAAGCTCCATCTACTTCTTGTCCCTGGAGTGGACAGTACTTAAGAGCAATAGATGCAGTCGATCTGTACGGTGTTGTCAGCTGGGCTGTTGACTGTGCCAGCCCAAATACATGCAGTGTGCACTGTTGCTTGGAAGTGGGGCCACAGAGTTTAGTAATTTTTTCTCTGGACAGTAATTTCTATGAGACCTGTGGAGGAAAGAATATTTTTCCCTTGAACTTCCCAAGTCTCATCTCTTATCCCAGTGAAACACTTCCCATTGTAGCTTGCTTGGAAACCATTTCATAGCACTCTTGTCAAGATAAACTATGAAGACTTCTATTGGTTTCATAAAACCCTTGTATTCAGAGCACTGTTCAAGAACTAACTAATCTCCCTGAAATCATGAGGCAAGCAGGTAAGAACAGCTGAGTAAATAAAAGGCAAAGTAATTCTGACTGAGGCACTGTCAAGTTAAAATGCGGGTTCTGATCAATACCGCAATCTTATGGCAGAATAATAAATTATGTGTAGCACTAAAGAACACTATTCAGTCCTATTTTTTCTGTAGCCTGTGCTCAGTCTTCACTCTATGCTGATAAGCAAGCCTTTAAATCAGTTCCTTCATTCCAGGCTAGGGCTGAGTTCAGCCAGGAGCTGCAAGCCCTGTTCTTGCACCGAGGCTTTTTCTTGAGCAAATCTGGTCTGTGACAGCTCTTCTTAGCTGCAGCAGTGTGGAGGCCAAGAGAGATGAGTCCTCTCTTGGTTCCTAGGGTAGCTCTGGTGGCCCCTTGGTTTGCAGCAAGGAAAATGGACCATTTACTTTTTATGGCATTGTCAGCTGGGCTGTTGGCTGTGCCAGCCCAGAACAAACCCAGGGCTCAGTTCAAGTGTGAGGATTTTCCTGGGCCGGATAAGACTGCTGATGAAAGGTGAGTTTTCATTGCCTGAGATAAGTCCTGAATATAACCCCTTTGTATAAAATATCCCAAGTGCATTGAGGTTTTTTTCTGGTAGACTTTTTAAGGCAACTTAAGAGCAAGGAAAAAAAAAAAATAGTCCAGGTGATTTCCTGCAGAAAGTTCTCACTTCCTCCTCTTCCTCATGCCTTCCACCTAAACAAAGCTTCCTGGAACTTAGAATGGGAATTTCGGAAGCATAAGACTTGTATGTAACACTTCTGGCTCTCAAATTGAATACAATCTTTGGACAAATGCTTTTCTCAGTAAAAAGTGGCTGCTGCTGAAAATGCCTACCAGCCCCACGCTTTGGGCAGAATAGTTTGGGACAACACTGTAATCTGAGCTTGTGTATGTGTATCCAAGTATAATTAGCACCACATTCAGAAGTCTGTAGGATGAATTTTGCCAGAAAGTGCTAGAGAAAGAGTAGCATATACTAGTGAATAAGGACTGATTGCATGAAAGTGGTGGGTTACGAAAGGAAGAGGCCCCTGTCCTTAAACTGGTGTGTGTCTCATGCAGACAAATGAGGGGAGCAAATTTGTTTGGGGTGCTCCATGTGAACCCAGCATTGTTGTCCCACTTCCCTTGCACCAGCTTCTCTCTTCTTTCCCAGAAGTTTCTTTCCTTCTGAGGCTCCTCAGGTCAAGATGAATCTGGCTTTATAGTTTCATTGGCAAATGGAGAAATCCACTGCTTCAGCTTGTTTAATCTGATGGGATTTGGGAGGTTTCAAAGAGCCACCAGATAGCTTCAAGTCTTTTCCATGTTAAACAAACTGATTTGTCATTCTAGAGAAATGTTTCACTTTGGCTCAAAGTAGTTGTGCTGGGAAACTGCTGATGCAAAACATTTGTCTTCCAGAGCTTTATCCCTCCTCCTTCCCTGTATGTGCTTATGTACAGCCAAATACGTAATTCTCCATTTAGGGAATAGCTGTGATTTGTCCCACAGCATTTCTTGAGAAAGAGGAAAGAGCTAATCCTGGTCAGAGTTTTCATGTTTCTGCCTATCCTGTATTTTATTCTGTTGTTGCCAGCGTAAAATGGAGGACTTCTGCTCACAGGAATATTTTTTTCTGTATCCTGAATAAAGTGTGCGGCAGTTATGAGTGGGAAATTAAAGTATATATTGAAGAAAAGAGCACATTGTGGATAATGCTCCACACTCAGCTCACATGAGCACTTGGACACTCCTGCTTTGTGCTGCAGCTGCTGGTCTTTCTCCCTTGTGGCGTCATTCATAGTCCCACAGTGACCTCAGAAATGTTAGTACAGGTGCTGACAATGGGAGAACTTTCTTCTGAACTAAAACCAGTTAACAAAACAAATCATCACTTGTATGGTAGCCAGACCATCCCCACAGATAAGCTGGGAGCTGGCTGGAGATCTTCCATCCCCTTGGATCCGACACAGCTGGCTGCTGACCACTGGCTCTCTGAAGGATGTAATGGCTTTCATGGATTTACTGTAGGTCAGGCAGTTTATGCAGGGAATTGCTCAGCTCTGAAGCTGTAAATCTTTCCCAGAGGTTGAGGCTGTAGCATTGCATACAGCTTTTACATATGGCTTCATACAAAAGGTGCAAAGCCCTGAGGGCTCTTTGAGCCAGATACTGACCGTTGGCTCCTTTACCTGACTTCCATACAATTGCCTTCCCGTCGCGGGGATCGCTTGGCTGTGCTGACTGTTCCCAAGTTTAATACAAAACTGTCTCTAAGTGTGCCTCTCCTCACATGCTGAGCAGAGCGTGCCGCAGAGAAGCGGCGGGGCACCGGACACCTCGGAACCGGCGCAGCCCGCGAGGCTGCCGCAGAGCTGACGGGGTAGGCGTGGGTGCGGGGGAACTGCAGAACTCCGCAGAGTTGTTGCGTGCCAGAGGCTGCAGCCCTTGGTTTGCAGAAGGTGGTGGAGCTGGTTCAGTTCGGGAGCAGCTCAGGGTAGTGCCCAAGCTTGAGTCTCCGAACACCTGCGTGCAAATGGACGCAGCGCTCTGGATTTTGTCCTGGGAAGTGTGTGTGTGGGTACACGCAGGCAGAGGGGAGGGAGGGAGGCTGGTGAGCAGACCTAAGGGAGGGAAGACTGTTGTAGCTAGAAGCAGTGGGCTTGTGTGGAAGAGCCAGGGATCCATCAAACACTGATGCTGCAGGTTTTCTGTGCATGTGGGTATGCTGCTTAATCTGCTGTATCTGTCCCTTACCATCCTTGGAATGAGGTATTGGTTTTTTTATCTTCTGTGTTTTCCACTGAATTTCTTGGGTCAGGGACAATTACTTAATCTCTTATGTGTGTACCTTGTTTAAACAGAGCCGTGGTCTTGGGTGAGGCACTCTGTCAACTTGTTGCTGCTTTTAAAGCACAACAAATAGCCCTGTCCTACTGATGTGCCTCCTCCTGCCTATTAAGCATTTAAATGTTTCTCCACATCCACTACTGTGACAGTGTTGGAGGGAGACTGATGAAAAGGCTGAAGTACCCCTGAGTTACTGGGTGACACTAGGTCTGGGAACAAATTGGAGAACGCTGTTGCTCACGACTTTAAAAAGCAATCTGCTCAGGAGGGGATGCTACTGGCTCTGCTTGCAGATTTGCGCTGTAGCCAGGCTGTTGGCATGCAGCGTGTGCTTTCCTTTTCCCACTGGCATCCTTGCTGGTGCTCCAAGACATCACACCACCGCGATAAAAATAGATCCCAAGAGTGATAAGCAACAGGAGGTGGGGATGCTTTCTCTCCTCGGGGAAGTGCAGCCCAGCTGGTGACTGTGGGGCTGTCATTAGCATGGCAGCTCCAGGGCTGGTTGGCAGGAGCTGGAAATGCACACGAGGCTCTTGCCCACGCTGGAGCAGGCTCATCTCAGCTGAGCCACTCGCCGCTGGGTGAGCTGAAAGGCATGGCAAGCGCATGGTGCTGTAATGGCCTGAACTGGGGTATCACCCTGAATGCAAAAACGATTTTAAAATTGAACCTAGAGACAAGATCTTGTGGCTCAGCTTGCTGGGCTTTACCCCCTTCTGGACCGTTGCACCCACACGGCACTGCTGTTCCCTGCTGTCCCTTGATGCAAGCAACACGGCCCACATCCTCCAACGGTGCTGAGGACGTGCAGGAACCCTTGCCTTGCCCTTGTGCAAAGCTGTGTCATTAACTCATTGCTTCTCAACCTAGACTGTGGTGGAAGGGGTTTGGTTTTTTTCAGGCCAGCTCTCCTGGAGGAAGGGTACCCTCCCCGTAACTCAGCCTGGCTGAGCTCCCTTCCACTGTGGGTTAAGCCAAGTCACACTTCCCTGTGCGTGCCCTCTAACAAGCATCGCCGTGCAGTGCTGTTCACACCGCAGCACCTTCCTCAGGAGGCAAAGCTTCCTCAGCTCCCTCTGGATTTGAGGGATTTCTACCCAGCGGAAGGGCTCGGCTGTCCCTGCTCTGTGCTCTCAGCATCCCGCGCAGGTGCGCAGAGACATGGCATGGTGTCAGCATCCAATCTGAGCAGAAAGCTCATAAACATTGGTGTGGGAGGAAGCACACTTAAACAGAATTTAAGCTGCTCTACAGAGGGTATGACTTTAAAATTGCTGCCTTGGGAGCCAAACAATCCTATTATGCTTGGTACTAAAGGGACATACAGTTCTCATTAGTGATCTTGTTTTCTTTCCTCCTGCTCTGTTATAACCACTCAGATGCTTCCAAATATTTCCCTGTTGATTTGGTCTCTTATTTAACAAGTGTTGAATCTGACTGCACTGTGTGTGCATGCAGCTACAGGCTAAGCCTGCTCTCCTCCTGTGTTTCTGGAGAACCAGAGAGTGCATAGACAAAAGCATAATATTTCATAACTCTTGTCAAGGGCTGGCCACAAGGTCAATTAAAAAAATACTTATATTCCTTCCTTGGTAGTAAATGAGTATTTGAGGTTGGTAGGTTTGTTAGCCCAGGTACTTGACCAATCTGGTACCTGTTTATCTGTTTTCCAGGCATTTCCAGGCATCAAAGCACTGCTCTTATCAAATTTGCAAGCCAGTCTGCTTTCCTCTAAGGCCTGGCAGCTTTATGCTGCCTAGCTTGTGTCTGCTGCCTGGGTCTCTGAGGCTAAGGCAACAGGACTGCCTTGTGACCATGTACACTTTGAGAGCTGCAGCCTGCATGCTGGACCCTAAGAAATGATCCAACTGATGGGAAGGGTTGGGGTTTTTTTATATATACATATATATATATATACACACACACACACACACAATTGTAAATGTGTGTGTGTATCTCTATATATATATGCCCTATGTAGGGTTAAGCTTTTTATCAGATCTATTCGTTTTGGCCTTTCCAGCAGCTGCAGTAGCTGAGCTCTTGCCAGTGATAGCAGAATATTCAGACTTCCAGCAAGCCCGGTAATACTGGGGTAGGGGAGGAACAGGCTTAAACCCTCCCTCCTAAATATTGGAAAACCATTTCCCATTAACTTTATCGACCTGCTAGTCTATCTTCAATCATGGTCAGAACTGGCAGGGTTTGTAGAAAGCTCTTTTCTTAATGCTTTTATCACTGAAGTGCACATTTATCCACAGAATGTGTGTCAGAAGTGGAGTTAGAAGAGCCCTGGGGGTTTATCTCTGGTCCTTCCTCGTCAGGATACATGAGCAGCACAGAGTGCTCTTGGATACTCTGACTGCCTCTGAAGGGCATGTCAAAGATTATGGTAAAGCATCTGTCAATAACATCATCAATGAACTGCCAAGAGGAGTTCCTTAGGATTTATGAAGAGAGCCAGCAAGGAAGAAAAGTGCTAGGTAACAACAAATGATCCAGCTGAGGACACTCAGACCTAGACGTTTCTCACTTTCACTTGGGCCAACTTCAGAAAGGGTTTCGAGTCCCAGCTGCATGGCTCCAATGTGTGGCAACTTTAGTTAAACTAAGTTGAACTTTAGCCTTCAGAGCCAGGCTGTAGACTCGGCTGGAGACTTTAATCCCTGTGTCATGGACCCAGTAGGAGAACAGCCCTCTTAATACACTAGGAAATAAGCTGTGGTATTTGGGTAATCCCTTATGGACACTTGTCTTTAAGTGACTTGTGTACTCCTGTTTTGGCAGCGTCTTATTGAAAGTCACGTCCCCTTCCTCCATACCCTCAGAGACAATGAAGTAAGATGCAATGATGGCATGCTTTATTTGCCTCTTGGAGGTGGAATGGATGATGCTGAAGCATGAGCACCTGGGAAACAGAACTGTGGCTCTTTATACCAGGAAATATATTCTCTCCTGTGTGGAGGGCTATGGTCTTCCTCACCGTGACCCTGCTGAGGTGCAATCTGGTCACTGAGACACAAGTCTAGATGAACAAAATCCACAGCGTTAAAAGAAAGCTAAAATAAAATGAAAGTAACAGCTTTAGTGATCTTTCCAGTAAAGTTTAGATTTCTGGAGGCTTGTATGTCCACATGTTTGGTTTGCTCATGTACTGCATGCTGTGCAGTTAAGTAAAATCTAGTTGAAGTGCAGTGTGGCAGGGAACAGGAGTACATCAAGATTACTCCAGTGAGTTGGGCTATTTCAAAATGCATGGAGGAAATGCTTTTTGCTGCCTATTTTAAAGGTTCTGTACACAGAGTAGGTGAAAAAGCGGAAGAGATAAGATGGACAGTAGCACACTCCTACATCTGTTTGGAATGGCAAGTCAAATGCCAACTTTCTTGCCTGCTATACAAGCTGTGTAGTATGTAAACATTTTTACATAGAAAGAAAATATTTCTGTACCTTCGCTGTATTGAAGTCTTGGGACAGAATGGAGGACCATCATGCCTTTATGTACACAAGTGATGGGCTTTAATTTAGCTACTGTCACTGAAACATTGTGGAATTACTGGAGCAGATGCATAGCCATGAAGAATACAAAACAAGGTGTCCATGTGTGAAGAGGTAAAGAATAAAACATGCTCTACTGTACAAACCTGACAAACCAATTTTTTTAGTACTGGGGTGTGTGTGTGTGATTTAATTCTTCCCCTTCCTGCACACAGTCATTCTGAAAAGGATCTAGAAGTACAGAGGAGCATGACAGGTATCCAGGAGTCAGCCTGGCTCTCTGCAGGGAGAGACTAAACAGACTCAACAGGCTGGAAGAGGAAATGGAGGCAAAAGGCAATGGCTTTATAGACTGCTATGAATGGTACAGGAAGGTGACTAAGGCATGCTTAGTCGCTGGTTTTTTGCAAGGTGAAGAGTAGGGACATCAAAGGGAAATATTGGATGGCAAGTTGAAAGCAAAAGGAATTAACTGGAACTTGTTGGCACAAAATGTAAATGGGGAGGGGTAAAGTAATAGGAAAGGAGTGGGGGAAAACTCGTGAAGGCTAATTTTGCAGAGGTTTTATTGGATGTACTGAAGAATCTCTGACCTGTGAAGATGTTCCTTCTCCCAGCATCCCCTCCCAGCCCTTCAGTGTGTTTTTCTTTCCCTTCCCTCATTCCCCTTTATTCTGCCTCTGTATAGGTTTAATTTTTTGTGATTCCAGATGTTATAAACTACTTACACAGAAGTGTTTTTCCTGGGTGGGTATCCACACTTGCATCCTGGTAGACAAAGTGTGGTGGAGAAATCCATCAGCTTTTTGGAGTCCTGTGGGTGAATTCTAGCATATGTGTTCTCCAAATATTTTAGAAATTAAGTGATGCCTCTGGAGAAAGTTTTTGGATAATAGCTATTTTGTGTAGACCTTCATCCTCTTACATCACACCAGTGGTGATGGTTCATGCTCTAGGGAAGAGGACTTATTTAACTTCTATCTGGGTGTAGATGAGGACTATGTGCATGATCATCGTAGCTCTCTTATAAGCTCTCTTTTCTGACGCTTGAACAGGAACACCCTTTTGTTACCAAGTACAGTAGTAATGCTTCCAAACAAAGACCTTTAGGGTGGTAGAACATGCTAGGAATATTTTTTTCGTTAACAAAAAAACCCCGCCCACCAAATCTAAAGTTTAGCATGTCAGTTAACCCTTGAGTTGGGAGGAAAAGGACAGGAGAGGAGAAAGACAGAGGATGTGCTGAGCTGTTAGAGCACTCCATAGCATCTTCCTCCAAGAACTTATTTATAAAAGCGCCAAAAAAATTTCAAAAAGTATGTCTGTTGCAGCTGAGAATAACGGTTTAACTATCATAACTATTTATATGCAGGACAGAGGAAAATACTATCAGAAATGGGGCCATCAGTCAAACTTTTCCCCAAATAGGAGTCTAACAGATAGCTCCCTGGAGCGTCCTCCGGCACACAGACTCGCTGCTATGTAATAGCATTTGTTATGGCTGGCAGTTTTTCAAGGCTGGATATATTAAATGAGATTCCTACATCTGTTTATATGCCATCATATCGGAATAGCCTGTTTTCTTTTTTTTCCCCTCCTCTAGAGCCAGTGAGCAACAGAAGTCAATGGGTGCCTGTCTCTAAACCAAATTACTTTTATTGAGGAACTTAAAATATAGACTTGGGCTTTAATGTCAGCATGAGCTAGAACTTTAGCATGATGGTATAATGGGAGAAAGAGGCTGGAAAATTCGGAGAACCAGAAAGTAACCTGGAAACTATTTAGCATGCTTAATAACTGAAAGTACCTATCAGTGGAGATGGAGTAATGGCAAAAATTCCCTGTACCATCCCATTTTCGATTTAAGGGCAAGTAGTCTAGCAATTTTTCAGGATAGATAAAGCAAACAAAATGCCTAGCCTCATAGGTAGACTTTGGGCAGCTGGTACTGTGCAATGAACTGGACAAATCCTTGCTGGCCAGCAGTAGGGCACTTTTTGCAGGACAGGGACTGGAGATGCTGCTGCCTCCTGCCTGGCAGCCATGTTACCGGCATTGAACATCTCTCAAACGTGGATAATTCCTCACTTTTCTGCCTTTCCACAGAGTAACTTCTATGACTTTTGCCTACATTTCTCAAATGGTGTTTTTATAGTGGTAGTGTTGTGCTTGGTTTTGCTTATAGCTGCGCTATGCAGTACCGTGCAGTTTCCTGTGGTTCTCCAGAGGCCTGGACCTGTGGTGAAGGTGATGCTCTGCTCCACTGGCCCTGCTGCTTTCAGCATTGAACACTTGATGCTCAGGGTCCAAGGTACAGTCAAGCTGTACCAACCACTTCTCACTAAAGATTAACTGACCTCTTTGACTGAAGCTTCAAGAATGTACTTGTTTTCAAGATGCCTTTATGGACTTTCTGGAGACTTTACATACAGATGTTCTCCAAACATATGAAAAACCAGAGCTCTCCGAAGCTCTAGCCTGGATAAAACTGCCTGATTTGCAAAATGCTGAAGCTTGAAACAAGGCTAAAGTGGGTTTGAGGTTTGTAGGTTTATCATGAACAAGGTCTGGCCTGGTAGAATAGGAATGTAGTAGCTTTCCTAATTTGTTTGTTCTCTAAGTGAACACATCTTTTTCCAGATGAACTTTTAAAATGAGTATTTCAAGGTTCTACTCTTCAGATCGTCTCTCACCCGTGATCCATGCTTTTCCGTGGGGGTGACTTGTCATGTAGGAATTGCCCTTAGTCCCTGATGAATGTCCATTTAAAACTTAATATTGAAGCTGAATTTAATGCTCTACATTCTAATTCTTTCCAGGACAAAAACCTGGCAATGCCCCCAAAAAATCCCAAGGAGATGAGCTCAGATTTGTCATGAGGCATAGCTGTCATACTTACAGATTGGGAAAGAATGATCCAGTCACCAGCATGCCCCATGAGATACACAAATGCCACCAGGTGAGCACCCAAGTTCTTACAGCTTTTGTAACTCCGACATGAAAATCTGCAAATATCTGTGATGTGGTTTTTAGTGAATCCATAGGTATTTCAGTGTGTGTTAGAAAACTGGGCAAGTTCCTCAGAGAGAGTTAGGAAAGCTGGGGGGTATCAGTACCTTCTTTCCAGCAAACGGCAGATAAATCTGACACTTCTGGGCAAAGGTCTCGTAAAGCATGTCAGAGGCCTGAATGTGCTGTGACTGAGGAGTTAATGCTAAACCATGTCACTAAGAATCTTTTGTCACTTTCATCCATTCCCTTTTCTTCCTCCCTTATTGTGCTTAGTTAGGATAAGAAATAACTTTCCATTCATGTGGCAATAGCATAGACTTCTAAACTGTGTTGAAAGCTTAACTTCAGAAGTAATGAATAATATGACCAAAATAGATTTGGACCAATATGCCATCTTTGATTCCCCCCCTCCCGCCTTTTCTCTTCTTAATGGGTATTACAGTCCCTTTTGCCTCTGCTCACATTTTGATAGCTATCCCTAGGAAATAAGAACCAATTGTAAAATATGCTGGCATTGTGACTTTGTTCTTTGCTTTGTGCTGCAGCTGTCACTGGAGAATTGTAGCCCCATTAAAATCCATTATTAGGCTTGAAGTCCTGGACTTCTAGACTGAAAGAAATCTGTCTAATTGTCATGGCCAATTGATGGTGTATGAAGGATTTGGACTAACCAAAGAGTTAATAAGCAAGAGAGAGCTCACCTTAATGCTGAGGTGAGAGAAACAGAGGAGAAGAACTAAGTTTCTTTTGCAGACAGACAGGGAGTTTTACATAGCGCACCTCCATGCTCCAGGAGGGATTTGTAATCATACTTGGAGCTCCTTCAGCTAGCTCTGTAACTTTCCCTTCCTTCTGTTGCAATCAAATGTATTGGATGCTAGGTCCTAATCATCACATGGCTGTGCCTTGGAATGACGTGAGTCTCTCTGGGTTGCTCTTGAATTTGCTTGAATTTGCAGCATGACAACTTACCGTGTGTGTCTGAGGCTGTGTGCCGAAGGCAGCAGGTCAAAGCAGTGGGACCAAGAGAAGGGAAGATTTTCCTGCTCCCCTGCTATGCCAGGAGAGGTACCTTACCTACCTTGACAAAGGAGCTATTGGCTTGGTTAGGTAGGATATTGCTGGGGAATCGAAGCTGTGCAAGTGTCTTCTGTATCGGGAGGAGAAAGCATAGACTGGAAATTTAAACCATTCAGGCACTCATGGATACAAGGTTCTTTGGAATCATTTGAGTGTTTATGATGGACCACATCTCTCTTCAAGGCTTCTGGGTAGGTTGAACTGCATAGTAATTTACTATCTTCCTTTTCTGACCCCTTTTATTGAATGAAGGTGACCAAATTTCCTTCAGTTGTAGGGTGTGGGAGGCAGGGAGGACGGCAACACTGGTTAGTGCCTGCAAGGCAGGGCCAAGTGGCAGTAGACTTCCTGAGAGCCATTGAGAGCTGCCCTTGTCACCCAGGGCTTCTTCAGAAGTGGTCTCTGGACTCAGCAGTTCTTGACTTCCAGCATCATGGCTGTATCTGAGAGGATACTTCTATCAATCCTTCTTTTAAAACTTTTTTTTTCTTAACCCTTTGTATCTTGGTACTTGTCTCACTCTGTGTCTGAAATAGTTTGAGCAGATGCTGCTGTGAGTACCAAAGCTGCCTTTGTACCATATGGATATCAGGATCTTTGGGTACAGAAATGTTCACTGGAATGGCTTCATACCTTCCTCATTCTCCCACTGTCTCCCCCCTTTTTTCTTCCACATATGCAGGCATTTAGAGAACTGGTTATTGAAGTAATCTCACTAAAGTATGAGAGATGCACTCATATAGAGCATGAGAATGATTTGGCCATTGCACTAGGTTTCACCTCTTCAGCCTGGGTAGGGAACAGTATGGCATAGGCCACTAGAGATGTACCTCCTGAAAGACCTCAGAGAAATCCTGGCATCCACTAATACCTTTGAGTATCAAAAAGCTTGGAGTAAAAAGTCGGCCTCTGGAAATAAATTTAAGGGCTGTCTCAAACTACTTGGCAATGACTACAACAGCAGTATTTTCTTCTTCCCCCTCACCAGCAAACTTATGTGTTCAGAAGATGCCTTTCAGCATCTTCTCCAGCAGTAGCTTCCTGGCCCTGCGTTTCAAAACTGATCAATCTGTGGGATACAGAGGCTTCAAAACCTTTCTTGGAGAGTTGTATCAGCAGCCAACATAAAGTGAGCTGGAAAGCAGCAGCCAAGGTAAGTAAGGCTCTGGGTCTTTCCCTGCCTATGCCATAAAGCCATCCTGTTGTTAAAATAGTATTGAATGTTACAGGCAGGGACATTTGTAATGTTTATTTGCTGAATGTGCTTCCCCTAAAGCTATTGTCTGAGATCACTTCAAGATAGTCTTCCGTGCTAGCTCACTTCCAAAACTGAGGTGAGTTAATTCAGTGTTCACCTCAGCCACTTCACACTAGGTGAATGGTCCTCATAACTGCAGTTCTCAGGCTTTGTCACCAAGCCAAATACAGAAACACACCTGAGGAATGAGTGCTTATTTAAATTAGGTTTTGGGTTGACTTGTTTTTGTTTAAAACAGATGCTTATTGGGAGGAACGATTAGTCTCAGCATGTAAGTGACCTCTGATTAATTAATAACCACTGTCTGGAACCTGACACTATAAACAGGAAGCAGAATGCCAAACAGTTTAATCCATCTGTGCTAACTTTTGCTCAACAGCTTGGCTGCTCTTACTAGAGGGTTCTGCCTTTTCCTGGGGCACTCAGAAGGGATAGAGGGAGCCTGTTAAAAAGGTTAGTTCCCATGACGTGATCCAGAGTGCCACCAAAAGAGGGGACGTAGAAGATGTGTTGTACCTCAGTACTTTAAAATCTCAGTAGGCTTCTCCAAACCTGCTCTACCAATGACAAGCTTTTAATGGGCTTATTTTCTGTTAAACATTCCCCCTGGCCCCAAGACTCATCTTCTGTATTACCAGTTTCTGAGGAAAGTAAATACTGTTCACTTCTAGTTTTGTTTGTTTCTTTTCTCATGCTAACACCTCTTTGTGATCAGTGAAAGCTGCTGGTGGTGGGAAATGGGTTATTTATGCACTGTTTAATTTGCTGTTACTGGAGATGGTTGGGAACACGTTAGTGAACTAATTTTAGAAAACAGAGACTTCCATTACTGTAATGGAAACACTTCATAAATATCAGTTTTGACTAAGAAAAGAGGTCAGGAAGTGCTTCTCACCTGCAGAATGTAGCTTCCTGAAAAATCCGTGGAGAGCTGCTTACCCAGGACATGTTGCCAGTCAGTACACATCTGGGACATCAAGGTTCAAGTTCTTCCTCAACTGGTATTAGTTGAGGTCTTTTTTTTTTTTTATTAGTATGTACGGAAAACTTCTGTTCTTTTGAAGGGAAAATTAGAGCAAAGCATTCCCAACTCTCTCCAATACAGATGTTTCAATCCCACTAGCGGGCTACTGTGGAACCTTTGGTGGACATAGCTGTCCAGAACAAGTCTGGTGCTTGTTTGGTGTTGGAGCATATTAGTTCACCCAGCTGTGACCAATATTCTTTAACAAAAAAAAGGGCAAACACACACCATCACACCCCCAACAAAAACAAAATATCCATACTAATAGTAAGGAAATACTTCCACAGAAATGCAGATTTCTACTGGTGGATCCATTCCCTCTGCTGGGGCCTGCAACAAGTACAGAATTGCTGGTAGACCCGTGCGGGAAGCCCAGGATGGATGAAAGTGGCTAGTCAACTGCTGTGCCCTGGCTGGTCAGCCTGCAGTATGAGAGTCAACGCTTCTGTGGAGGCTTTCAAATTGATGAAAAATGGGTCCTGAAAGCTGCATGCTGCAACTTCAGGTGGGCAATGTCCTCTCATCCCAGAGCAATGAGGGTTTGCTAGCCTCTAGACAGGACAATTTCTAAGCCACCTTGTCAGTCCTGGCAAATACAGATGGGCTTACTGTTCCCACATGTCTACATACATCCAGAACTGCTCTCCAGCAGCTTAAACGTTCCTGTGTAGCTTTCTGTGCTACTAGCAATAGTGGCAGTAGAGATGGAGTATGGGCTTTGATGTGTGCCTGGTAATTACTGTATGCATGCAGTTGTAGGAGAGCTTGTCCTCTGCCCCCTCCCCAAAACCGCTGATGCTTGTATTATGTCTCTGGCTCCCTATTATGTACTTACTGGCCTCAAATAGGCTGAGGTACCACATGCTTCTGTTGAACCTTCATCTCTGTTGTATGTAGACACCCATGATGGTGGCATAGGTCTCGAATGTTTCACCAAACTAGTTATACAGCCTAGATCTGTAGCTTCGATGTAAGCTCCATGCGTGTTGGGGTCTGGCTCCTGAGAAGGTGAGCGACCGACTCGTCTCTGGACTCCCTGTGTTAATTGTAACAGCAGCAAACCTTTGGAGGTACAAGTCAAAGTTCTCCGTCAGCACAGCACAAAAAGCACTCATACCTCAACTGGGATTCCCAAAAGTACCCCTGTGATGTAAGGTTATAAGTCTTGAAGCATAAGTGTTGCTTGGCAGCAAACTTTGGACTCTTCCTGTTGTCTGAATGATGGTGGTTTTTTTAGACCGAAAAATGTATTTGTTTTCCTTCTTCCTTGCCTCGTGCTCAGACAGAACAGTTCTGGGGAAAAAATACTTGTTGCCAAATGTGAAGGATGACACCTCCATGCTTGTGAAAGCTGAGCACACACACCATGGCTTTGGTGGGTTACCTTTCAGAAATGACCTGGCACTCCTGGAGCTGCAGATACCCATTGAGCCAGGTACTGCTTGGAACCCATCCATCATACTCAGCTGTGCTGGGGTTAATGGTTGTAATAAGACTCTGACATGGGGCACAGTGTTTAGTATGTGTGTGGGGAATGGGGTGGGAGGGCATTTGTGTATCTTATACACTAAGGCATGCTAAAAGTGAAATGAACAGCAAGCCTTTGAGGAGGCTTGCTTCATATTATCTGGTTAAAATACAGCATGGGGGTTAAGAATGCTTCTGCTTGTTGTCAATAGGCTCTGAATAAGGTTCATCCAGGCAGACTTGCCTGTGACTTTAAGGTATAAGTGTAAGGTAGACATGATCTAGAGAACAGCAAAGATCACCTATTCTACCTGTCTTGCCAACCTGTCACAGCTGTACTATGACCATTAAAGTTAATGAGGCAAAAATAAGCATGCATGTCCCAGGGGAGCTGTTCTTATTTATTTTTTTTCTCCTTAAAGATTGGTATACACAGCAATAATATGATACGCACTTCTGTATCATCTGAGATAGCAGGGGCTGAAATTTAAAGAAAAAGCTTTTAAGGTGCCTGTACCCTTTGTCTAAACCACAGAATATTCTTGTTAGAGGAATATTTTGCTGCAGTATATAATTTAGATTTTATACAATGAAGTGCAAAGCTTGGATAGAGCTGAGAGAAGTTACTCCTTCCAGTTTATGTGCAACTTGGGGCAGGACTTGGGGGGAGGGAAGGGGAAGAACTGAAGACAGATGTTAAGCAGTGGGGAAAACGGCATCTAAATAGAGCCAGCGCACATGAACAGAGCATGTGAATAAGAAGGCTACATAAGCATACGG